CCAGCTCAGCATGGTGCTGGGGCTGGTAGGTGGCAATAGCCAGAGGCCTGGAGAACTATTCATCTCACAGCACTCATCTCTCCTGCTGTATTTTTGACACTTTGCTAGGAGATGAATCTTTAGGTCTACAGACAGAATGAGGAGCTACAGTACATGATTTGCCTTGCAGTACTATTTCTCCTTCCTGCTGCCTATGCAGGCTCAGAGTGCTAACTCTTGGAGCACGGTTCCTGCCTTTTATTACTTTGTATTTTATGTGGATATATCGCTGATGTTTGCTTCACAGTTTGAGAAATGCTAGTCTTGAGAATGGTGTTTAGAACTTCCTTGTCTCAGTGTTACTACGCTGTATGGACATTTTTCCTTCTGAGAAATCTCATTTGGATGTTTACATATGAATTTAGGTGACTAACACTGGGAGGCCAGGCTTGAAGAATTGTTCTAAAATTCTAATTTTTTTAAATTTTCATAATTCCGAAGATTTATTTGCTTTTCCAGTCTTTTGTTCATGCACACGTTCACTATACATTCTCACACCCATTTCAACATGAATTGAACAATTCTAGAGTGGTTCACACATAGTCCTATCACATATACAAATCAGAGAATAAATTGCTAATGAAGAGGGACATATTTCATTGTGTAAGAAGTTAAGTTTTAGCTCCACTACTGTCCAAGTGTAGATTTACCGGGTGGGGGAGGAACCCCATGAAGGAGCCATAAGATTTCCCTGTTGCTAAAAGTTTCATACAATTTTTGAAGACTTTGTTAAAGTGGACGAGTGGTTTGTCAGCCTGTAAATAGCAAAGGAATAATAACATTCTCATATACAAGTAACCTCAGATGCTGAAGGGATGAACCACTTGATGCTTCAAGGAAATAAACTGGTAGGAACCTGACAAACAACAATAGGTAGCACTTCTTTCGGCGGAGTTTGTCCCTTTTCATGAATGCTTATGTTGCACAAGCAATTGCTGCACTGCACTGCATCAGCACTGTTCCTAATCCTGATTTGGAAACATTAACTGATAACTTGACAAAGCGTGACACGTGGTATGTTGAAGTGTTTTCAGCTGCGCTAACACAATAAATTGTAATGGCTCCAAAAGAGCCATTTCAGTTGATTGTGTCAATAAACTACAGCCCAGAGGAAAAAAAAAATAAAAAATAGATGTGGCCAACCTGAATAAAGTACTGTCAAATCACAAACAATTGGTTAACAGTCAGGTTGTTTTTTTTTTTCCCCCTTCTTAGAAAAAAAGTATTTTGCAGACAAAGCCTGTAATTTCTACAGCTTTTGCCTCTGACAAATCTGAAGTCCAGTTCTATGGCACTTAGCAATTTACATTCCTCCATTTCTGTATGTATAAAACTCAATGTTTCATAGCTCTGCTGCTAAAGGAAGACTTGGCATGTGTTCTCAGCGTGGGTCAATACACAGGCTGTCACATGCACTTCATCTTTCTCCTGCTTTTCTGAGACATATGCCTATTGCTTATAAAGAAGACCTCTGCATCATTTTCTGGACCAGGTGCCTGCAGACACAAGGTTACCATTACTTCCTGGCTTTTTTTTTTTTTTTTTTTTTTTTTTCATTAGGAAGAACTAATCTACTTGATGGTAATGCAAAAAACCTGCTTTCTTAGCAGGGCTGATGATACACACTGAATTCTTACCTCCCTGAGCCCATTAAGGTCTCAGACTAAGTAAATCAGGTACAGCTGGACTTAATGAGACCAGCCGCTAAGTCATCAGTTCTGTGTGTTGGCTGCTTTTTCCATTGCCCATATACCAGTTAAAACCCATGTGGTGCTGTCCTGTATCCTCAGAGATCACTAACATAGATAAAGATTGCAGTCCATGAGCCTTAAGTGCCTCAGCAAGGGTGTGCTTTGTTTATTAAGCACCTGGAACTTCCTGAGTTACTCTTAGTAAGTAGAGATAGGAGGACAGTCCTTTCCCAGAATTTACAGCTCACTGAATAACCATAGCAAAGTGTACCTACAGTAGGAGCCCTGGAGGAAAGAGTTGTGCTAGTTTTGAAGATACATTACTTTCCAAATATTTTTTACAATGATATTTAGTTTCCTGCATTCTTAAGGCAGCAACTTCTGTCTAGGAAATGTGGTAGTTTTCCTAGAAGAAAAAAAATAAATGAGTATTTACTAAAACATTGGTTGATTATTTGGTACCAGAAATGGAATCTTCTTGACTGCTTATTTCACATACCTAGTAAGTGGAGACACTAATCACAGATATTCGTGTGACATACGTGACCTCTGCCTTATTCTCATATGGAGGGTGGATTGCACTTAAAAGGAAAGGCAGTAAGCTGTTTGGTGGAGTATCAAGTGGCAATAATGCAGTATGGAGCTGTGTAATAACAAAAATGCTATGTAAGGATTTCTCTGTAAAATTAGGGAACTGGTTAAGTCATGGCTAGTTAGTTCCTAGAAGGCAGGTTGTCATTGAAGGAATGCACAGTGCCAAAGAGAGCAACAACTTGCACCACTGACACTGTCCAAAATTCTCCTTTTCTCTACAGGAGATACTAAACAAGTGCCTTGTGAGTATGCTCAAATTACTGATGAGGCATTTTCGACAGTTAAGGGAGGAATTTACCTCCATTCATCTTAACCTGATCGTGATACTTTCTCAGGCACAAGCTTAATACCCAACAGCCCATTGCTTTTGATGATCTTCAGCCAACAGAAATGCCCAACAACAAAATCACAACAGCTGAAGATGAAAGGACCCAGTCAGCCAACTTGCTAAAATGTTTGCTGTGTTATTTTTTACTGCCTACAGTATGCTGTCAAATATACATCTGATCATCATTTGAACTTTCGATGTCATTGGGATTCTGAATGGCTTCACACACAAAGGAATGGATTACACTCATCCGTCCGTTGGTTATTCATCTGATCAATTCAAGAATGTTTATTTTTAAGGCAAGGGTACTGACAAAATTGAGTGAATTACTTCTTGTTTTTGAAAAACCCCTTCATTTCCACTTAGAGGTGTAATGTTCTACAGAAAATGAGTAACATATTTTTCTACTTAACATATCCTAGTATGATTTATGAATTGTTCCTCAAGTAAGACAAGCTTTTTTTACACTTTATTTACTGTGAACAGAACACTGATGGTAGAAATAAATGAGACAGACAAGAAGATCCATAGTCAGAGACACGACCTGCTTTATTCCCCAGCTAGCAACAGAATCTGGGCCTCTTGCATCACAGACTACTGACCTCAGGGTAAAAAAACAGAAAAAAATTAAAAGATGAAATGCGTTTTTGATGTAATAACTGGAACAAACATAAGAAATCAGTATGTATTGAGAGCTAACAGCTATCTGCCAGACTCATGGGTCAGTGTGCTCTGAACAATAAAGACTAACCAAAAATACAGCACTGAGGGGGACATAATTGCTGCTACTCTTATCATGTTTGGGTAAATGCACTGTTTCAGAGTCCTCAATGTCATATGATCAACAACAAAAAAGTACTACTTGCTCAGAAAGTAAAGAGGCAAAACAATTAATTTCTACCTTCAAAATGTTTTGTGTAAGTTTGTAGCATTCAGTTACATATTTGAAGTATGGTATTCCATTGAGAACATTTTGTTAGTTATTTTTGTCTTTTCCCATGTGTTTATTTCTCTGCTGCAGAGGCATTTCTCCAGCCAGCAGGTTAACCATGGGAACCAGAATATCTTTAAGAGAGGAAAAAAAAATAATTAAAGTGTTGAAATAAAGATTTATTTTGGTAGCAATAGGATGTTGAACACCTTTTTTTTCATTAACTCTACACCATATTCACCAAAACTGAACTCATGTTTCATTTGTACGCTTAATACCCACTGAATAGTCTGCAAGATAGCCAAAAAAGGGTGAAGATGCCTAAGGTGACTTTCAGACAAAATACAATTCTTACATTAAAAACATAATATATTTTTTGGAGAGCAAACAAACAACAGTTTTGCTACGCTCTGCACAGAATATCCTAAATTCCCATTGAAGACATTCAATTCTGTCTTCAAGGCAGAAGGGCTCACGCCTGAAGTGTCTCTGGCATTCCCCATCTCTGTGGACACCACATGAAGAAAAAATTGCACTGATGGGGCCTAGAGACCTTGTGTTTCCAGAGGCATGGAGCTGCTGCTGCCGATCACGGATCCACCTGTGTAAAAAGTCAGTTTCCCTGCTGTTTATAAGCTCCCCCAAAGTACTGGAAGGGCACAGTGAGGTGTCCCTTGCAGCCTCCTGTTCTCCACAGAGTGAACAAGGCCAGCTCCCTCAGCCTTTCTTCATAGGTGAAGGGCTCCAGCCCTCCGATCATCTTCACATTGTCCTCCAGACCCACTCTAACAGCTCCAAATCCTTATGCTGGGTGCCCCAGGCCTGGATGCGGTGCTGCAGGTTGGCTCCCATAAGGGCAGGGCAGCAGGGACAACCACCTGCCGGCACACCCCTGTTGGGGTGCAGCCCAGCACAGCCCTGGCCTTCTGTGCAGCAAGTGCTGCCGGCTCTCTCCAGGCAGCAATACAAGGGAAAAATCCTTGCACAGCCCGGCTCTGGGCCCCGCACCTGTTGAGCTGTGCACAGCCCTTTTCCCCGTGTGCTGAAGGGATGCACCTGGAGCTGAAGACGAGCGTGCTGGTTGCCCTGGGTTGTGGGAGGCAGGAGCACAGAGAACGTGAATGACTTTTTATTTATTTATTTATCGTTAACAGCTCATAAGATGTCCTCATCGTCGGGGCTGAAAAGCTCTGCAGTGTGCCTTTACCCTGAGGCCAGTGTCCATTCGTCCCTTAGAATTTTTCCCCCTCCTTCGGAGAGACGAAAACCCGTTTCGCCCTCCCGAAAAGCACGTTTGTCCTCCCCCTACAATCTTCGCCGGAGAACAAGACATAAAAGGCAACAGCCTAAGGACAAAGCCGCCGAGCGGTGGCAAACAGCCGGCACCCCGCTGCGCTCAGCTTCCCCCCCCCCCAGGGCCGCCCCGCAGCCGCACCCAAGGGCCGCCGCACCGCGCGGCTCCGCCAGGGGAGGGGCGCGGAGGGCGGTGCAGTGCCGTCCTCCCGCCGCCCGCTCCACCTGCTGCCGCTGCGCCAGTAGCCGGCTGGGGGGAGCGCCTGCCCGCCCCATCCCCGCGGGGCCCCTTTGTGCTGCTCCAGAGCTGCCCTGAGCCACGCGGCGGCTGCGTCACGGCGCTGAGTCTCTCTGCCCGCCGAGGGACAGCCGCCGCCGCCGCCGCCTCGCCGCCCGCTCCGCCATTGCTGCGCGGGCCGCGGCGGAACGACGCCTCGCCGCCCCCCGAGGAAGGGCAGGGAGCCGCGGCGGTGAGTGGCGGGGCGCTGCCTCGCCGCCCCCAGGGAGGGACGGGAGGAGCGCTGCCGGGTGCGGGGCCGCCATGGCGGGGGGCGCCGGGCGGTGCCGGGGCTGAGGGCGATGCCGCACCGCGGTCGCCGGGATGGTGATAACGCGCCGCGGTGGCTGTGCGCTATTTATTTATTTATTTATTTACTAAGCGATGGTCGTAATTCTCACGTACCGAGAGGTGCTCGAGTCGCGGAGACCAGCCCGTGTGTGTGTGCGTGTGTATCGCCGTGCGTTTCGGGGGCTGTGAAAGGGGCTGGTGCAGCCCGGCTCGCTGACACACCGCTCCGCCGTGCGTTTTTCTCTGTGTGCGTACGTGTGTCTGCTTGCAGAAAACCCCTCATTCCTGGAAGAATGGTGAAACTGGGGAATAATTTCAGCGAGAAGAGCACAAAGCAGCCCCTTCTGGAGGATGGCTTCGACACCATCCCCCTGATCACACCCCTGGACGTCAATCAGCTCCAGTTCCCGCCTCCCGACAAGGTACGGTGCCTTCAGCTTCCACCCCGGAGAATCACACCCAAATCCTGGGCGAACAACGAAGAATGGGTTACGTGTGACAAGTGGCTCGGAGCACCGGGCTGTACGCCGTGTTCTGAGCAGTGTCAGCCCCTCTGGGGGACAGCGGAGCTACGGCAACACGGCAGCGGTGATTTGCATTGAAACCTAGTGGGGAATGCGAGCGTTTGTGAGGTGTTTGGGTTTTTGTATGAAATGCAGGAGCAGACAAATGCAAGGTGTTCTGTGCTGTATTGTTTCATCCCTTCTCACTGTCTGACTTGTTAGTATGTGGAATGCTGTGTGCTCTGTGAAGGGAGTTTTCCCTGAAAAGCCCCCCTGCTGGGCTGTGAACATGGCTTTGTCTCTCTGCAGGATGTATGTAGGCAGACTGGCCATGGAGAACTTCCATGTTCCCTTTGTGCTTTGGTAGAACTTCCACCAGCCCCACACAGCCTGAAGCACTGGGATGAGAGTAGATCACTGCACTTCCTATGAGAATCATAGAATGGCTTGGATTGGGAGTGACCTCAGAGGTCATCTGGTTCCAATCCCTCCACTGTGGGCAGGGTTGTAGCTAGATCAAGTGCTAGATCAGGTTAGCAACTTATTTGGCCCCAGACCTCTAAATGGAGGTGATGTAGGTTCTCTGTGTCTGGAAAGGACTGCTTGAGCTGCTGCTCACAGGTTGGAAGGGAAGCGTGTATCCGCATTCATCATCTCATGGCTTGAGTGTCAGGGATTCAGGAAGATGCCAGAGTAATCCATAAATATTCATTTCACTCAGATGTTTCAGTAAGAGTTGTTATGGGTGGGGCATACAGTGGTAGGATACTTTTTCAGGTATTTCAGTAAGAGACCTGCTGGGATGTTTTTCACATGCATCTGACAAAAAAAAAAAAAAAAAAAGTTTTGTCTGCTTGTTTTTTAAATCCAAGATTTAACTGGAAAATGATTGGTAATATGTTCCTTCTGATTTTTGCTTTTGGCATTGTGTCCTCTAAGAGCTCAATTCTCCTTTTAGATAAAGTGGTGGGTATGTGCTCCTCATAGTTAAGAATAAAAAAAAAAAAAAATCACGTAATCCTACCTCGAGGTAAAGCATTTCAGCTTTTCAAGTCTGCCTCAGAAGAGTGTTGCTCGTAGGCAACACAAACACATTTATGACCTCCATTTTAATTCCTATCAGCATCGTTGTGCTGTGTGTGGTGACCAGTTGGCAGGCATAAATACAATAAGCCATAACAGCTGTTACAGAGCCTTAGGGCCCATTTTCTGTCCTTGGTTACATGGGTGTAAATCTTCTAACCGAGGACAAAATTGCACCCTAAGGCTTTCAAACAAGTTAAGTCTGACTGTGTCTGATACAGCTGCCAACTGGTGACTGCATAGAACCGATTACCAAGAGCAGCATCCAGAGGAATCCGTTATGTTAGGGTGCTGTTAAATGAAGGCTGCATTGGGACTGTGTGGGATAATAGGTTTACCTTGAGTGGAGCTGTGGCAAACACGGGAGACTCTGTGCCGCCCATCTGCATTTGCCTTCAACATCAGCAGATGTACACCTCAGCTTGAAACTTAAAGAAACATTCAGTTGGCTCCTCTGCACTTTCCACTGTCTATTGGTATGATAGCTTTCCTTTCATTTTACAAACAACAATGAAAAATAGAAGCATGTGTTTATTGGTCTTCCTGGCTTCCTTCTGTGACATGGTTAGTTGTCAGTGTGTCCTTCCTGGCTGCTACAGACACAAAGGCAGTAGTAGAGTAGTTGATGTGAAAAACAGCAGAAGTGTTGTCAAGACTGACGAATGGATCTAATTCTGAAATATGAAGACTCTCATGTATAACAGAGTACGTCCTTCATATACCTGTGCTTTTTATTCACTTACAAGGCTCTGGTATGGCAGCGAAGCATAACTTCTTGGGTAGTTGTGACTGTAGTGCCAAGGATTTGATGGTTTTGACAGCTTCTAAATTAAACGGATGAACTGATTTAAATTCATATTTAGGTATGTTAAACAAAAGAAGACATTACATAACCAGGCAGATAGAACTCTGTGTTCAGTGTCAGCTGAAAGTGACTTGAGTTGCCTGAGAATTATGCAACATAAAGGGGAAGAAGTATAATGTTAAAAAGATGTTCCAGACAGTTTGCTTCTATGAAGCTGCTGGGTAATTGAAAAGTAACATAGTTATAATTATCTTATTAATTATAGCTCAAAATAGATTTAGAAACTCTTTTCCCTGTGTTCTATGTCTGTGTGCTGTTATAAAAGTATTTAATAGGCTTTGTGCTATGCTCACACAAAGGAGAACCCGAAGGTTTAATTTCAGTAACTGGCTACCTGTAAGTCTATTTTAATTTATCACGACTTATTACAGTCTTAATTTATGAATAGTTACCACTGATAACATAGACTGCTCCAAAGACAGCATCTGGTTCTACAGATCTGAAAGTGTGAAGTCTCAATATTTGTTCTTTGGAACAATAGAGAAAATTGGCCAAACCATAACGGAGCTGCCAGTACAATAAACTGCCTGTTTTGTTTGAGATGCTTTGAAAAATAGATCCTGAAAAATTGTAGAAGAAAAGAAATGAGGCAAGTAGGTTAGGTGTATGAAAATTCTGTACGATGAGAACGCCTAGGAGAGTATTTGAGGTGCAACTGACACAAGTATTTTTGGAATACAGGTAAGACACTCAATGATAATTTGGGGAAATAGCTCATAGCGAGGAATAAACTGAAATTAAAGAGCCTTGGGCATTTTGAGAAATCTCATTATCACGTAAGGATTTGTGTGTTCCTTGCTGCTAGTAACTTAAAAGTTATCTGAGATGTTAAGTATCACAGTGCCAAAAGCTTTTGTCTGGCACGTACCAAATTGCATCTAGCAAGTCATTCCAAATCTCTGAAGTTCAGAATCATGCAGTTGGAGAACATGGCTGTGGAACATTCTTCTCCTGAAACAAATGGAGATGGCTGTTTCCTGTTTTGAACAGTCTGAAAGTTTTGTGATTTGGATTTGAACTAAATAGGTGCTTGCAGCACAATAACAACAGCTGAAAAAACTGAACATGAAGTGTTGCATAGCAAGTCTTCCTTTAGATACATCAATTTTTTTGAGAGAGAATTTTGTTGATTACTATGAAGAAAGTAGACAGAAATAACTAACGGCTTGAAGCCTCCATAGGAGAATTGCACAAAATGGGGGAGGAAAAAAAAAAACCTGTTGTGCTAACTGTGCTTGTCAGCAAATAAGAGAGTAAAATAAGATTCCCATGGCTTGTTTCATGCTATTCCAAATCTGGCAGGTGCATCTGAAGATGTACTCATAAGATACTGTCAGCTTTTTGATATATATTTTTTTGACTTGTTTTAAAGGTTGTGGTCAAAACGAAAACAGAATATGAACCTGATCGCAAGAAAGGAAAATTCCGTACTCCAAAAATAGCTGAATTCACAATCAGCATCACTGAAGGGGTTTCAGAAAGATTTAAGGTAAGCAATGCAAGCTAAGTATGTTAGTGACTCAGTTCTGCTCCAAGAAATGCTTAAAATCGATTGCTGATTGTAGTCAAGAGTGGTTGTAACAGAGCGGCTGTTTAGAGCATAACTGGAAAAGAGAAAAAGGGATTCAGTGATAAAATAGTTACATTATTATATATACTTATATCCAATGGGTATTTAACATTTGGGAGCAGAAGGAAGCCCTGCAGTATTACTGGTTCTAACCCTTCCTGGCAGTCAGGCTTGGGGGCAGTGCTGTCAGTGTCACTGTGTATTTCACAGTGAGGCTGACTGGGGTCTGTTTGGGGCATGCACGGGTATGGCTTAAGCATGGACAAAGCTCCTGTTGAAGGGTAAGAACCACAAGAGTGTATGTTTTCTTGTTGGCTTACTATTTTTCTCTGTAGCCAAACCATTCTCCTAAAAGCACTGTCATTGTCCATTAAGTATTTCTTATAGAGAGATATATGACTTGGCAACTTAAGGATGCATACAGAGCTCTTTGCTATTGATGTTGTGGTCCAGCTGTATCATGCAGGTTGATGATGACAATCACTGGGAGATGGCAGAGTGGGAATCTGACTCACATTTATTCATTTGTGTCCACACCCTTCTTATTCCCTTTGGTAGTTCTAGAGGAAAGCTGAGAGCTTAACTGATGCTAAACTGATATAAACTGTATTACCAATCCCACTTCTCACTGGAGGTCAGGTTTTCTTGTGCTGTACAAGTAAAATGAAGTAGGAAAGTTAGCACTTCAGCTCACGTTTTCCTGTCAGTTTTCTTAATGAAAGAAGACTAGTTCTCCAGTGCTGTTAATTTGGCATCTTACTCAAGGACACCAAAGCATTTTCAAACAGCAGGTGATCACACTATTCAGTGCACAGGTACAGATATGCTTGGAAAGCCTTAAATTCAGTCTCAGGAAAAATAGAAGGTTTCAGTAAAGATGTCAGTTCTCCTGATACTCCTAGAATCACAGAATGCCTTGGATTGGAAGGGACCCTAAAGATGGTATAGTTCCAACCCACTTTGCTGCCCCCCACCAGGTCAGGTTGCCCAGGGTTCCATCCAACCTGGCCTTGAACATCTCCCACAGCTTCTCTGGGCAGCCTGTGCAGGCCTCACAGCCAGTCACTGAGGAGCAGTCTCTGTCCTGTTAGGGGATGATACATGCTGTATGGTTGGGTAAGGTGCAGATGGGCAGCTTAGAACAAACGGGATGTGTATGGCTGTCTTCTGAATGTGTCCTGGTCAGACTAATGTGATCTGGAAACGCATACCACTTTGTAGTAGAGGAGAGAGGGGAATGTGTTGGATTTGAGTGTCCTGCTAGCACTTCAGTTCCAAGCAATTGAGCAGAACCACTGTCTGCAGAATTTTTCATTTCTCTGCTAGCTGCAGGGACTGTGAGGGTTTTCATCTGTCGAGCATTAAATTGTAGATAAGGGAGGATTTGGAATATCTTAGCTGCATCTGAACATTGTACATGTTTCTCTGTAGATCTGGGTTCTTTCTGTCTTTGTTGGGAGTGCTGAACAAGTAAGACCTCACTGAACAGCAAATAAATATCTTGTCATGCCATTGGGTTGTCTTTCCTAATTTGTGTATCTGAAGAGTCAGAAGCCTGAGCATTTTTATGTTGCGTTTTTATATACCTTTGGATGGCATACTTAAAGGAAAATGTCTTTTAGATATTACTTCATGATGATCACTCTGGGATTAATCTCATACTACAGGGTTGCTAGGCTTTGCTGCTAGGTAACTACTGCATCAGAGAGAGGTTTCAGTAAGATTTTGTATCTCTTGGGAATTGCAGGATGATTCACGCTGGCTGTAAGTCTGCTTTTAAAGGAGGGTGTGGGGGCTGATCGATTAGGAAAATTGAGGCTCAGGTAGTTGAAAACAATATTTTCAAGCAGAACATTCAGGACCTAAAAATGTCCCTTAATCTCTATGTAACGTTTTTAGAATTGAATTGTGCTGCCTGCATCATTTTAAAGAGGACTGACTGGTTCTCCTCCAGGAACGATTGTCATATTCACCACTCCCAGTAGTAAATATTTCATGAATAATTGATGCCATTTTATAAGTATGTAGATGGAAAGTACTGATTGTGTGAGGGTTTTTTTTTTCTCCTGGGTCCTTATTAATTGTGAATAGTCGTGTTAACTGCTGCTGTTGATTCTGAGAGAGCAAAAGGATATTTGTTTGAAAATTAAATATTTGCTATAATTATGAAATGCATTATTTAACTGGTAGGATATTGACTTTGGCTTGTGCTCATGGAAAAAAGCTTCAGATGCTGTTTTAATGACTTTAATACTGTGCATCGCTGATGCATTTGCCACAAGACACAGTGCAAATGTGCTAAAATAAAGGCAGTCAGTTGTCTTTGCTAATATTTCACATGTGTATTCCAAGATGTAGTCCTTAAGTAAGGACAGAGCAGATTGCGTTTTTGGGATTTAGCAGTGCAGATCATCTAAAGCTGAGCTTCTTGAGAAATTGCACATTGTAACAAATGAAGCCACTCCAGCATGTACATATGTCATGTAGATCGTTTGTTGTTTTAGCAGCTGGGTGAATATGCAATTATAAACTGTATTTTCTGCATTCAATCCACATTACTACAGTTATTACAACAGAGCTGAGAATGTTTACAAAGAAAACTGCAAGTATAATTTTCCTGTACAAAATCACATTCTGCATTCAAATCAGAACCTGCTGTAAGAATGGGAAGGCTTCCTGATTCTGAGGTTGTTGTAATTCAGTTTTATAGCAGTAACCATGCCAAGGGAGATGGCATTCTTACTGGAGATTTTATTTTTCATTGAGAAATAAAAGTCTCTCTTCTGTTCTTTTGAACAGTGTAGAGTAATGGGGGGAGCCAGTCCTTTGCTTTGAGGTAGGTTTTCCTCTCCTGCAAATTGTCTGCTGTAGAGAATAGAACAACGTGGCTGGAAACATCATTTCAAAGGAATCAGCACACAGGAGGAAGCTGTTAGAGGCACGAACGGATGGTGTCAGTCAGCCAAGGCCAAACCTTTGCCTCCATTGCATTCTTCCGAACTCCATTTGAGTTCTGCAGTGAGATGTGTGTTCTTGTTGGGAGCTGACAACTGACTGCTGCACACAAGCACACCCATTTCAAAAAATGCCTGTTGTATTGAAGAATTAGAGGTTTTTTTCTGTCTTTGGGGAAACCTGAATAAAGAATACTCAAAGAATTTTGAAAGCAAGCATTTCTGTTTCCCAGTAAATTTAAAGCCCTTAAGTAAACCTAAGCTGTGGTATGCTTTAAGTCATTTGATGCATACAAAGGTAAATCAGTTCTTCAGGCTTCATTATTGACATCTGTATGTATATGTAGCTGCAGAGCCAAAGTCTGGAGCTTACTTCTGGGGTAAGACCACACCAGGCAAGCCATGTACTGTCAAGTAGCAAGCATGAGGTTATGGAAGAGAAATCAAGACATTCAAAATCAATTATCTCAGTTTTATCTAGTTATTTTAATTACAAAAAAAAAGTACATAACATGATTTAAATATTCCATGATTGATCTTTCTCAAAGGGCCATCTTTTAAAACACACTTCTGTCTGAAGCCTTTATGACTTGTTTTTCTTAGTAATTATTCTTAATACAAAAACAATTGGACACACAGAGAATACTTCTTTGTCAGCCTGTGTGATCACTCTATCTCCTGAGTGGCTCTTTGCATCCACTTAAAAATCTGTTAAATGCACGAGATGTTGGCTGTTTCCTGAACAGGAACACTTCCTTAGGCAGTGCTGTGTCTGTCACTCAGTGCTGGAAGGATGACAGGTGCTTACCGCCTGGCGTAGTGCTCTTTTCTTCTCTAGAGCTACTCACAGGATTGAAGAGTTGCTCACTGCTATAACAGCTTGGCAGACTTTGAATCTTTCCTTTTATTGCTTCAGAGCAATAAAAAAAAAGTCAAGACAAAAAAATATATATTCTTCTTTCAGTGTAACTGCCATTTTTTTAAAACAATGTAAATAAAGGCAATGTATTGTGACTGTCTTTATTCCATTTTTATAATTTCTGACAATTCTATTATAGGACGTAGACAATACTGCTAAATTATTGACTAAAAGAATTTTATTTTTAAAGTCAGAGCTGTCAGACTTAAGTGAAGTGGGTAATATCCAACAGCAGCTCCCCTGCTCTGAGCCAGGTGCCCTATGCCATTGAATCCCATTAGAAATCCTTGTCTTGGAGCAGAACCAAGTGTCTGAGATACTGCTGGCAAAAGATCCTTTGGGTCTCTCTAGATGTTAACGCTTGCTGCGTGTAAGGAAAGGCTGTGTAACCTTTACCAGCCTTTCTCTTGGCCCTGGTAATCCATTCCAGGTCTGTATGGTAAGGTAACAAGGCTCTAACTTCAGGGACGTGAGATGTCTTGGGCTGCTTCCTCAAATCTCTGTAGTTCTCAGCCTAAATACACGGTGTCTGTGTGATGGAGGGTGATGGGATGCTGCCACAAGCAGTCATGTTAAGTCACAGTGTTGCTTAGACTCTGGAGGCTGCTGCTTTGTTATTTGGTTTTGTCTAACAGCATCTCCCTCAGGTTTCATTAATCAGTTCCCTGCACACTGGCTCTGTTGTCTTGCACCATCGCTGCTAAGAAGCACTGGGTTGGAATTAAGTGATCTTTCCCTTCCAACCCAAGTCATTCTTTATTTCTATATGTGTAGTTTCTTTTCAGTTACTTCCCTCCATGAATCTATTTGCCTTTCTTGCTGCTTCTCTCAGTCATCTCTAGGTAAGCATCCACACCAGTTCTCTTCCTCTGCCTCCTTAAGCTGTCTTTTGATTTCTTCATTTTCTGTTGCATTCTGTCCCATGGCTATCATTCTTTTTGAGACAGATACCAGTCATGCAGCTAAACGTGACCTGTTGTGTTAGAAATATCCCTTTGAAAGCAGGCATCTGGCTGCCTTTTGTGTCACCAGCCATATTGTGTATTTAAGGTATAGTCCGCAGGAATGGGAAGTTGTACCATATTGTTCTGTACAATCTGGACTGCTCTGTAAATTAATGTAAATCAAATGTTGCATGCAGGTAAGTGAGTGTCCCTTTTTTCATATTGCTGTTTTCCTCAAACTTCATGATTCCTATTCCTTACATGCACGGTTTCAGATATCTTTCATGTAAACTTCTAGGGACAGGCCCAGGTATTAGCAAGGAAAGTCATTTTGGGAAAGCAAAAACATCTGGGGAAATGGAGAGCTGCCTTCAACATTCTCTTGCATGCAGGTAGAGCGCACCGTATGCTGGAGAGGCAGGATTTTAGTGGAGAGAGGTGAAATGGAGGTCACAGCCATTTGCAGGGAAGTAAGCATGATGTTTTATGAATTTTAGTCTGTAGGATGTAGTCAGACATAATCTATTGTAATTACAGTCTGCCTACCTAAAATTCTCTTGTAGTTTAAATTGGATAGCAATAATCTTAATTTCCTGCCCTAAATGGTTGCACAGAGTTGCTGTATTTCATCCCAGAGGGCTCTGTATTTCACTGGTGAGCAAAGCATGAATTAGTTCTAAATCACTTGAGATGAAAGGTGCTCTATAGATGCATGTCCTCACTCACTGTGTTTGGTACTAGCACCAAGTGCATGCTAGAGACAAACCAGCAATGAAAGCTTATTCCCAGGAGGCTGCAAGTGAAATAGGCAATGCGTAGATGTAGAACAGAGATGAGATGTGACTGAGTGCCAGAGACTGAGCAGTGTAAATGACTGCACGTGTTGTTAATTCTACTTTAGTTCCCCTTCTTGTAATAATGGCAGTGCTCCTAGCTGGGTTTGTGTACTTTCTGAAAGCATGGTGGAAAAGAAGACAGTGCAAACAAGCACAGTGAGAGTGGATTCATGACAAAGATTCAGGCAAGAAGAGGAGACATGTAGAAGTGTTTGCAGGTTATGGCACAGGATAAGAGTTGGCATCAAGTGGGGATAGTGGGGTACAGACAGAACAGAAAGAGAGAGAGAAGTAAGAGGAGCAAAACAGACAGAACTGTACATGCCTTGAAGCTTGTAATTTGTTCAGAAAGGGCCAGGAGTCAGGAAGGGTATGAGGCAAACCAGCACAGTTGGTGCAGTTGATGCATTTTGCTGTAACATTCTGGCTTGATTAAAAAGGGAGCACAGTAAAGGCTAGTGCAACAAGGGAGGAGATTGCAACAGCCAAGCAGAGAAGGAAATACGGCTTACAGAGTAGCAGCTGTAGCAGTGTAGTAGCTGTAGCAGAGTAGTACTACTAACTGTAGTAGTACAGCTACAGCTGTAGCAGAGAAGGACAGACTGACTGGGAAGATCTAGCAGACCCTGATGATAAGGCCTTACCAGGAGCTGTGTGCATGTTGGTGTAGTTGTCAAGTCTGCTGAATTTCATTAGTTGGCTAAATGCTTATGGTCAGAAGATAGGGAGTTTTGGTGTGTTGTTTTTTTTTGCTGTTGTTGTAGGTACACTTAGTTCATTCATTAGTCATCTCTCATTTCGATTACTGTAATGGCTTCTGGCTAGACGTTGTCCTTCTTCTGCTCTTCACTTATAATCTATTCAAAAATCTGCCACGTACATAATATCTTGTCATCTGTTGTGCTCACTTGGTTCTGCTGCCAGACCTCCTCAAAATTAACCTTAAAGGGCACTCTTGAGATGAAAACAAGGCTACTCTTCGCGTTACTAGTAGAAAGAAACACTTGTTTCTACTTCCTTCTAGTTATTTTAAAAGCCTGTCACCCAGATAGTGTGGCAGAGACCTTGGTGTTCTGCAGGATGTATGTGGCAGTGAAGGATCACAGTGATTTGGAGGACTTCTGCTCCCACTGTATGGGTTCTGCACTCCGCCAGCTGGCTACTGCAGGCAGAAGAGATGCAACTCTAAGAAAGAGGGAGTGGTTCTGTATGGATGGTATCCTCTCCTCCCTGGAACAGAAGGCAAGGGTGGGTTGCTGCCAGTGCCCCTGCAGGAGGAAGGATATAATTGTGCATTAGGTTGTGGTGAGTACACAGATTTGATGTGGAAGAAAACAATATGTGTCAGCTTTGGTCAGGCTTACAGTCTAAAGAGCAGCTTGTCATCTACTCTCTTTCTGTGCTTTCACTTGTGAAAGGGAACAGGGAGGTGAGGTGGGAGGTGGGCTCTGCTGGGTGACTGGCAGGGAGAAGCAGCAGCCTGGTTGGGGTGTGGATCATCTTTGTGGGCAGTGAGAGTGAAGGGAAGTAGCTAGTAGGAGGAAGAGAGGGATTTTACAGGAGAGAAGTGAATTGGATAAACAGGTGATAGGGATCATCTTGGAATCCAGTGATGGATTTCTATCCATGTCATTGGCACGTGCAGCTGTCCTTTACTGAAGTACACGTTACTTGTATCCTGATGGGTGGTTAGGAAGGAGACAAGAGCTTACTTGATTAGGGATTTGCAAATGGAGTCTGATTGCAAATTATTGGGGATAATGAGAGTAAAAATTTACATGCTAATACCAAAATTAATAATATTAGGAAACTGTTTACTCCTGTCTGTGGAGGAGATGGCTGTGAGCTGAACCAGTCTGTACCACAGCAATTCTTCTTTTGGTGTCTGTGTTTCGTGTCACAGAGCTTTTCTACAGAGAATAGGCTTTCTTGAAGGCTGCATGGAATACATCTTGGATGGCATGGAGGCCTTGGCAATATTCCCACTGGAATTTTGTTTTCTCTTTAGTACTTCTTTACTCTTCTCATTTTCTAAGGGAAAGAGCAGTGATCATCAGAATGAGTGGGACAGTGCAACACATACTTACTGCCATTGGGTTGTGGGCTGGGAGGTGAGCGATCCCAAACCTGCAGCTTGGACTGAGCAACTTGGGTGTTTGTTGGTGGGATGGCTGGGGATGCACAGGAAGGGGCTTCAAACAGCTGTAGAATTAAAAAGGGAGAGGCATGATAAAACACATGGGAAGGGCCAAGGTAGGGCATGGCTTGGCGGGGGCTGCCAGGTGTGAGGGAAGAGGGGCTGTTACTAAACTGTGCCTCAGAAGATGACCAGAAAGGAAGACGTGTTTCTTTTGGATTCACACATAGCATCCTGAGCCATAGCTGGAAATGCGAGGTTGACAAGGCAGAGCTGTCTGTCCACAAGTAACGAACTTGGAGAAGGCTAATTGGATTTGAAAACTGATGTCAGTTTGTGGTTTTCAGAGGGTGATTAAGAATATGATTTTTCTTTTAATTCAGCATCTGTTCTGCGAAACTGAAGATGTTATTATTAACCAGAAAGGTCATTTGCTCTGTGTCTCATTTAGATTGGCATTGTTACATTAATATTTACATTTATTCTGCTAATTTGCTTTTTTGATCTGTGGTTCTCCCTGCCCTCCCCTCTGGCCCTCTTTTTATTACGTTTTTTTCCCTTATTTTCTATCAAAAATCCTCAGCTTCAGCAGCACGCTACTTCCCAGCCTTGTTTCAGCCAGGAAATGTTGTGTTGTCTGTCCATGGTGAAGTTACCTTTCTTAGGATGACAAATCCATAAAAGTTCATCTGAGTCCTTCAGCATCCTACACTTATCAGAAAGGGAAGGTGTGGTTGTTTTGTATTTTTATTTTTTTGCCAAGAGAGAAAGCTGCAATTTTTTAGTGGTTTTTGGAAGTACCAGGTTATTACTTCTCTGTTTTTTAGAATTTAGATAACACTGTACATTGTTTTGATTCATTAATCACATAAGTTTGTTTCTGTTTATTTTTATGCTGTGGCACATGTTGGCTTCTCACCCACTCTCTTATTCTGCTCTTCCTGTGATTTCCAGAAGCTACTCATTTCTGTGTCAGTAGAGGTTTTAGAGTAATAAAGACAGACATCTGGGACATTCCCCCAGGTAACCAGTGCTCTTTGTTCAGCTTACACACACCTCAGGTTGCATCTTCTGTCTCACCTAAAAGGCTGCCTGGTCTCCAGCTTCTCACAGCTTAATCCTGGGAAATGTTAGCTTGGCAGTGATGCTGATTTCAGATTCAATTTTAGGTATACCCTGTTTTTGCTGCAGCTCAAACTTGGGACAAGAGGGGTACTTAAGGACATGGTGAAGTCAATGCCACACACACACAGTGCAATCAGCAATGCATCGATCTGTAGAACAGTTGTACCTGAACTTGTTGAGGCAGCCACGTGCTGAACATGATGTATTCCTTATGGATCTGAAGTGAATCCTGTGCAGTCATTGTGTGGTGAAGCAGTACTGGTTCAAACAAGATGTCTGAAGGAGTACATGTTGGCTTGCATGTGGACTACTGGTGTATCCATACATTCATAGCAGGTTCAACAAATCTTATCTAACAATAGTGGGCAGACATTGCTTTCTCCTTGCCTTGCTAAAGCCATCTTTGTATTATTTGGATGCCACCTGTGTTAACATTTTGGCATCTGACTCCATTCTTGGGCAGGTATGAGGAAAATCAACGTGCTTATCAGCTGACATAAACTAGATTTACACTTCCATCATCCAAATACTAAAAAATCAGCACACCCAAACCACCCCAGTTGAGTCTTTCTGCCCTCCTTTGTGCACTGAAAAGAAAAGCATCTGGAAAAACCTGGTAGCACAGAGGCACTGGGCCACTGTATGTGCATCATCTGCCTTCATCTGCAAGAAGCAGGAGGTGGAAGCGCTCGTACTCCTTTCCTGTTCTCCCTCCATGATTAAGTAGCTGTTTTTAGCCTTTGCTTGATTTTCCTGTAAAATGCATTCATAGCTGACTTTTGCTACCTACAGTAACAGCAGTGCATTACTAACATGAGCATGTTGTATTTCTCTTTGCAGGTAACTGTGCTGGTCCTTTTCGCCCTTGCGTTCTTAACTTGTGTTGTATTTCTGGTAGTCTACAAGGTTTACAAGTACGATCATACCTGTCCAGAAGGATTTGTTTTCAAGGTAAATTGTGCACACAATGTAGAAAAAATAGGGGAGAGTATGTAATATTGTAATATAATCTGTGCTGTTTTGTGCATAGCCTTTGTGAAGTCATGTTGCATTGTATGGAAATTCATAGTTGTTTCCAAAGGGTGGAGTGCTTTTAGCTGTGTTTCTTTCTGTTTAATTTGTAACGGAGGTTGTGACTACCACACAGATTTCACACTCTTGTTATTTTTGCTACTGTAAACACTGCAAAAATGTCAACACTGGTGTCCTTCAGACTTCCTTCATCTGCAGCTGTTTGAGCAAAGCACTCATTTATTGGGTCATACAGTGAGATGTTGCATGTTTCTCCAAATTCTTGTGTCATAGAAAAGGAGAGCGATAAATCTGAAGACTTGGAGGAAAAGACTCTGGAATATATATCAAAGAAAGACTAAAGTGATGGTCTCATTAAGAGCAGCAGTTACCTTATTTTTATAGAAAGAACTCCTTGTTCTAGAACAGAGACCTCTGAGCCCTGCTGCCATGGGCCAGAAGGGATGCCAAAAAAGGGAAAATACGTTTATTGGAAAAAATACTTCTGCTAAGTGAAAGGGAGGCTGGGGCTCACTTGATTCTTACATGGTGGTAGTGCTGGCTTCTCAGCTGAGACCTGAGCTAGAAGTCCAAAAGGTAGTATTGATTTCTGTCTGTTGAGAGATGTAACAGGGTTGAACTCAGGTGTCGTGAGTTAAGAAAAGCAGCAGTGATTATGGCATTCTTCCCTCTACTTAAGATTACTTAGTCACCTAAATGAATAAAGTAGGTACCTGGAATGATTTTCAAAATGCTGTAAGAAAGAATGGCTGCTTCAGTGCTCTTGACAGTCCTGTTCAGTTTTGATTCAGTTTTCTCTTGGCTCAAAGATGAGATATGGTGCTTAGAACATCTGGCAGTAAGTTGGGACACAGGTCTTGGTTCTGCTGTATTTTTTGAGTTGTCTCAGACAAGTTCTGAAACGTCTGTCTCTGCCCCTATCTCAAGGGATGACAGTCTTTTGTTCTACGCATTCTCTTTGAGCTATTTGGAATATGGACTGTATGTTCCTACAGAGCCTACCTTGATGTGATCCTGACTTGACAGGCACGGCCAGTTATGAGCTCCCATCATCGTTCCAGTGAGGGTCTGTGCTTCTGTGTCTTTTCTCACCATGTCTTCCCTTCCTTTGAATTGCAGCATTCTGGCTTCTTCTGCCTTTTCCTTCTAGTGTCACAAACATTTAAGAGGAGAAGAGTTTTGTGAGCTGCATTCAGTTGCATGGTGTGTGAAGAACCATCTGATCAGGTTTCTCAGGATCCTGTCTGAAACCCAAGTTAGGGAGAACCCCTCACTGCTGGTGCTTTACAGTGCAGCACATAAGAGGGCTGCTTTACTATTGTTCTCCCAGTGTTGGGTTTTGTGAAGGCTGTTTCCTGGATGCTTGACAGCATAATGCCAGGAGGGCATCTTTGGACATGGAATTTTTAAGAGTTTTTTATAGCATAAACATGTTACTAAATGACACCAGGCCTAGAACAGCAGTGCTGACATGAATTTGTATTTGTTGCCTGCGTGTCTTTTTTGAGAGTTTGTAACATCAGCTGGCATGGCTTGGCACAGATGTCCTAGGAGATGAAGCAGAAGCCTATGGCCAGCTGTGATCACCTTGTGACCAGTCTCTCTGTGGACAGGCTTTATGCTTCAGGTGCACTGAGCGATACTCTCTGGCTTGGCATCACCAGGCGTTTGATGCTGATGTGATTTGCTTGGTAAGAGTAGATGTTTCCTGCCTCAGGAAGCCTGGTACCATGGGACTCTCTGAATACAGGCTGAGCTACTGCAGCCGTTGAGTCAAATTTGTGACACTCTGCCTTGATGCTGTCATAAACACAACAGTTACAAAGGTTTCAGTGTCTTCAACCTTTTTGCTGTCCTACACATCATGGCTTGTAAGTGTAATTAAAAAGGTGCTTGTTTTCCTCTGTATAACATACTTAAACTGCCTTAAACTGCCTTAGCTGCAAATTTGTGCTTGCTGAAGCTGATGCAGACATAGCACTGTTGTGGTGTGGACTCCTCAGCAGTACTCTTTCTGGCTCAGGGTGAGACTCACCAGAGTCCTCAAGAACTCGATGTGCTCAAGGATCTGAGCACATTCAGATCCTGGAGAAACTTCTTCAGAGCTTCAGGGTGTTCCCTGCTGCATCTGTTCCTCTTCCCTTTCATTGCAGAGACATTTGCCTTCTGTCAGATCCGTGGACAGTATAAGAGAGTCACTTCTGTGCATTAGGGATAACACCATCATCTATTAAGTTTGGAATACTGACCCAGCAAATAGGAGAGAAGATACTTTTGTGACACACTGATGCCACTAGGAGATGAAAGTAATTGTCCTAACATAGCCAAACACAGACTGGCAACCAGAACTTTCTCTGGCATCAGAACCCTTAACTCACAACTAACTTCTGAAATAGAAGGGCTAGGAAAGAAACAGGAGACTGACAACACTCTCTGGAGTAATCCAGTTTCTCCTCACAGCCTTTGTTATTACTTCTCACACTTGGAAACCAGTGGGGGGGAGAGGGAAAATGTTCTGCTTAAGCTGAAGGTCAGAGCAGAGAATCAGCATCAGTTCTTGCAGCTCAGTAACTCCTGAGTGTTGCACTGCTTGCCTTGATGAGATGCTAAGCAAAGGAGTTGTCCTTGGGCAGCAGAGAAGGAGCAGAATAAAAGGGGAGGCTTTGTCTGTCTTTTCTAAAAGCATGAAATCCTGGGAACAGAAAATTCAGTCAAGATGGGAACTCTTGGGAACTTTGCTGTGTATTTCTTTAGGTTCTTTTGTCAGCTGTTGTGGGGTTTTGACTACAAAAAAATAACATTACTGAGTCATTTTGCCTGTTAAAAAGCAAATTGCTCCTTTTAAGCAACAAAAGATTGTGACTTTTTTTTTTTAGACTGGCAGTAATCTTGGCTTGTCTTCAGCACTAATAATTATATTCCATTTGCTTGAATTTTCTTGGCAGATTTAATTAGATCAATGGATTGTGTTCCTTCTCCCATTTTAAATATTTAGAGTTGTGACTACATCCTCTGACTGGGAGAAATAATCACTACAAAGAGGTCTGTGTTTAAGTACTTCTTAGTCATTTTATCACATCAGAAGCCGTGTCAGTTATCCCAGATAAATGCTAACAGAAGATGGCATGGTGATGTAGGTGAATGTGCACAGCACATAGCTCTATGCCAGAGTTGTCCTTTTGAAAGTTGTTTTTGAAATGTAGGTCTCAGACTTGCAGCTGGCACACGTGGAACAATTGGTGATGATTGTAGGGAAGCCTCTGTGCCTTACAAAGTGCAGAACAGCCAATGTCTTTGCTTCTCCAGATTAAATCCTGCCTGCTTCATATTTTTAGTTCAAATAAAACTTGAAGGCAAGTTTTGCCCTGGCTGCTGTGTTAGAAAAGAAGGTAAAGTGAACCTGGTTGGAATGCTAACTTCCAATGCTGGTGTGAGTCTGATATGCATAGAATTGTAGAATCATAGAATGGCTTGGGTTGGAAGGGACCTCAAGGATCATGAAGCTCCACACTTCCCTGCTGCAGGCAGGGCTGTCAACCTCCATGTCAGATACTGGACTAGGCTGCCCAGGGCTCCATCCAGTCTGACCTTGAACACCTTCAGGGACAGGGCAGCCCATCTAAGCCTCCATCACACAAGCGGGTTAGAGCTGATGAGTTGTTAACTTCTGTTCATCTTGTGACAGTCAGTCTTCCTTCCAGTTTGCCCTAAGACTGTATTGTACTCATCATGTAAGTGGGTATCTAAATCTACCCTCAGACTGATAGTTTTGGCAATGTTCTTTCATACTATTCTCTTCAATGTTTTTGGGATACAAAATTTATTTTAGCTAGGACTGTCTGCTGCATCTTTTGCCCAGCCATTTTGTGCTAGATGGCTTAAAACTGGTGTGCATTCATAGTAAATGTGTATACATATAAGATAGTTTTTATGACCAAATATTATCTGTGACGATTTTGTGTTTTTGTGCTCAGAAATTTCCAGTATAAAGACTTTCTTGTCAAGTTTAATGAGGACAGCAGTACTGCTGTCCTGCAGTATTACAGATTTTAGTCTTTGGCGTTGGACATAGAAGATCATTTCTTCTGAAATGAGTCAGCAAAGAAACAATTGCAGTCATTCTTTCTCCTGGAGCTGGCATGAGCTGCAGGTGCTCAGTGTGGATCTTAGAGTGCTGCAGCACTCTGAGGGTCTCAGGCAAGAGTGCTCAGCCTGGCAGATGTGGCAGAAGAGCTGCGAGGAATCCCATACCATTTTGGAGCAAAACTCGGGGTCAGCAGGATCTGTCCAAATCATTATTTCCTTCAGTGTGATTTGCTGCTTCATAGGCTTTTACTGCATCATCACAGGAAGGGTTGCTCAGTGCTGCCCGCTGTACAAACTTGGTTTTCAAGATGACATCAAAGTCCCTACTTAGTATTTAACTGTCTAAATCAGGTAGTTCATTTTCCAAAACTCTGAACATGGAGGAGTTCCTGTGCAGTGCTCTTAAACTTCTGGCAAATTAAATAATGTAGCACCACAGCTAAAGATAGGTTTTTGAAAGCCTGCTACTGACTTCATCTTTCTGAAAATCAGCAGTGAAGAACTGTGTTTGTGTGGGTGCATACACACATCAGTTGGGCTGCCCACAATGTTTTCCTTTTGTGTCTTAGGCTGTTAAACTGGCCATACCTTGGCACCGATGTATTTGTATTAATTTCTATCCCACAGACTGAAAATGCTGTAGACTGCATGAAGCTAATCTAATGCTAGAATGCAGAATCTGTAATTGTAGATTGACCACTTGGAACTAAGTGGGAAGGAGAAAGAAAGAAAAAAGCAAAATGTATCTGTACAAGAGACTGAGTACTTACACAGAGTATAAGTATGGGGTGCAAGTTTCTTGTCTATTAATTATTCTGGATTGTAGACACAGATTGGCTTTTCTGGCAAATGCTATGTGAGGTCTAAGGATTACAGGGCAGAACAGTTTGAACACATTAGGACAACATTGTAGTAATTGCTGTATGTTGCATCCTGAATCAGAGACTGAATGTTTGCTTAGAATCAAAGGAAAATATGCATCATGTGTGGGACTGCATTCATAATCTAAGTGATGGATTTTCTTTCCAGAATAATCAATGCATTCCAGCTGGGTTGGAAAACTACTACTCTGAACAAGACTCCAATGCTCGAGGGAAATTTTACACAGTCATAAACCACTACAATCTGGCCAAGCAAACCATCACGCGCTCAGTGTCCCCGTGGATGACAGTACTGTCAGAAGAGAAACTGTCTGAGCAGGAGACTGAAGCTGCTGAGAAATCAGCTTAGTGTGATAAGCTAATTATTAACACTATGTCATTTGAAGGTAACTAAGGGACTTTAAGAAACTTTTCATTAAATATAATTATGGATAATTTAGAGGTTACTCATGTTTATGGTGCAATTGCTTCTGTTTGCTGATACTGCTTTGCAAAAACAAAAAAACATGCTGCAGAACATTCATGGGCATAAAACAAGATGTGTATCAGCATTGCTTTAGAGCTTTGACACCGTTTTCAATGTTTAAAAAAAAAACACCAACAGATGTTCTTGCAGTTTATTGGATACTGACAGATTTCTTCTCTGGATTTTCAGGGCTTAGACCTTAAAATGTGTTCTGTTGTCTGAACTGATATTTTATTTATTAATTTTTTATTGTTAGTCATTTTGCAAACTGAAACACCACAGCCATAACTAGAGTGATCTCTTGTTTAGCTGAGAGCTGTGTTTAGTATTTAGTTTTGGCTCAAGCAAAAATGATAATCAGCACTGATGTCAAGGGCATAATGTAATGACTTGTATGGAGAAAGGAAAAAAAAAGTGTCAGGTAGCATTTTTCTTACATTTTCTTTACTGTTATTTATTTGTAAGTGATAACGAAGTTCCCTGCAAGAAGGCATGCTCAATGTTTTATTATTGCTGTCAACAGGATTTAACTGCATTTCCACTGTGGCTTTAGCATCTTGGTAAGGATGTGCACTGAAACACAAACTAGATAGACACTATGGAAAAACACAGACAATGCTAGTGATGGATGTTGAGGATAGCATAAGAATATACAGTTAAGGATGTTTGAAAGAGAAATGACATCTTTGATCGTACTTAAAAGGCAGAAAGCCTATTCACAGTAGATGTAGCCCGCTATGTAATTTGTTGGATACAGCAGAGGGAGTGATGTATCTGAATTTTCTCTTTTATTACATTGACATTTACCCTTTTTATAAATTAGAGCTTTCAGTTTATGTATGGTTTGCGGTTTGATACTTTTTAAACACAAAGCATCAAAACAGTAGCATCTTAGTAACACAAGTGGCTGTTGGAAAGCTCCATGTGAAACTGAGTGAAGAGTAGAACTGTTTATGTATGGCTTGGGATGGACAAAGATGTAGAAGAACATAGTATTGTGGATGCACGTTCAAGTTCCATTGTAATTACAAACTTAACTATTCTTTGTGTGAAACCATGTTTTCATTTTTATTATAAATCTTAAATGCATTACAAAAGAAGGCATCGTTAATTTAACAGACAAGGGTGTGAAGTATCTGGGTAAGCAGGTACCCTTTCTTTTCATTTTATTTAAATGCAACAGCTTCTAGTGGACATGTCAAAGAGTTCCCTTGGTTGTAGAGACTATACAAAAACAAAGGAAAAACATCAGGATGCTGGGTAGAACACTGTCAGCTCTGCTTTTATTTTTCTCCAGTAGAATAACATTATCAACAGCCTTTCTTTCAGCAGTACAGTAAAAAGAACCATTATTACTTAATTTGATATGAAGTATCCATTACACAGTAATATTCATAAAAGGATTTTTAAGTCATTGTAGGTGGAATGCTTAAAAGCATTAAGTTATGTGCCAAATGTTACTTTGCATTTAAAAACTACAGACTTATGTTCAGATTTTCAAAATTACCCTATTTGCATTTTCTGGTAGGCTTATACTTTATTGAATGTAACTTTTGACATTTTCACTCTGTAAAGAATGATTTGCTCATTGCATATAAAACTTACAGGCATATGCATGTCAGAAGAGAGTTAACAAAACAGTTCTTGATCACCACAGTTACAGAAGCCACTCAGATGTTACAAGAGGGAAAGTTCTCTTCCCCAGGACTGTCTATTTCCCCATAGAAATGATCCACAGTACATCCTCCTTTTAAATTTAGCACACTAAGAACTGCTTTAATGCATAAGTACTGATGAGAAACCTTACTTCTCTCATGAGAGCAAACATCACAAAACATGGAGCTGTACAATCTAAGAGACAGTGATTGCTCAGTGTTCAAGAGCCAAAGGAGTTTTTCCTCTGATTTAACAGGATGAAGTTTACTGATTCTTATCTACAGTTGGTTTTGGGACTTTCTTTAGTTAACAAATCACTCCCAAGTTCAGTATTTTGAAGGGTTTGGCTTTAATATTGTCTATCCTTTGGCTTTGTTCCAGCACCTCAGACCATCTGTTTCTGCAGTCTCGTTGGCTGCGTTGCTTTATCTCTTTGCACCCCAAAGTAAAGCTCTGTAGCTGACTTTTAAAATTTATTAAATCAACATCACAAAATAGTTTCTAAGGATTAGAAGTGGAGGTCATACATCCACAAAACGATCACTCTGTACTGAAGTAGTATGATTAAATAAAAGCCTGAGACAGTGTAGCTGCTTTTGCACACAGCAACAATTCTCTCCATCTGTTCTGTGCGCTGGGAGCTGGACTAAAGCATCAGAGAAGTGGGAGACTTTGACAATGGTAAAACTTTTTCTTTTTTTTTTAATTTTCCCTTTAGCTGTGCTCCAGCTTGCAGCTTTCTTAGGAGTTCTTTCAGAGGTTTAAGTGTGCAGGATTAAGTGTGGTTTCAGATCTGATAAAGGGATTTAAAATGAATGCTACCCTCTCTCTGCCTTAAGGGACATATGGTTGTGCTTAGCTGTTAGAAAATATTTCCATCATAGCAGTATGAAAAAAATGCATAAAGTATACAGGTATACCATGAACTCCATTCAACAGAAGAAAAAAAGAGCCGTGAGATTTTACCAAGCATGTAGACAACATGGTATTTTTAATTAATTATCATACCAGTCCAGGAAAAGCAAGGAGAATGAACACATCACCAGGAAAAAAAGAATCCATACTCTAAATCCAGCGTTGTTTTTGATTGCCTGTGAGGAAAAGGTTATCTTGGTTACCATCACTGGTAAAGGTACAGTACATATTTGCACAAAGGCAGCCCAAGATGACTGTCAGTGGTTTCAGTATGTACTGCAAGAACAAAGCTTGCCATTGATTTCAGGTGGTAACATTCAGGTTGGTTATACTTCTCTAAATTTATCATATTGTTTCTCTCTGAGTCTTAAAGGTGGTGATTCAGAAAGAAAAAACAACATTTGGATTGCACAGAATAGAAATACAGCCAAAACAAAGAACTAAATCAAAATGCACATGTGTAGAGGTTAATTTTAAGTTCCAAAAGTGAAATTCTCTAATGAATTCTTCAATTGAAAAACAAACAAATGCCTAACACCACCAAAGTCTGAGAACAGCTGTTTGTAAAGGCTGGGTTTCAGTCTCAAAGCAAGCAGAGCAAAGATCAACTAAACAAGATACAGTAAATTTTTCCTAGAGTTTTCCTTCTGAAAATTTAGGCTGGCAGATCACAGGGACCTGTTTTCTCTTTTCTGATTTTTGCAGAGTACAGAATTTTTCATGTGATAAAACAGTAATAGTGTTTTGTGTATGACCTTTCTCTACTGTTTATCAGTGTGGTTTGAGAAACTTGCTTCTGCCTACAAAAATAAGTCGATGCCACGTTGTAAATACCAATCTGACCATAGACACTGGGACAATCCATTGCCATCTCTAGGCCCTTCAAGTGCCCTACCTGAAGTCAGGTACTTAATCACAATTTAATGGCACAGTAACTGTATGCTAAACATCAGTAAAGCTATTGATTTTAGTTTTAAAAAAGAAAATAAGACCACCCACTATGTGCCATACCACCATGCCTTGTGGACAGCCACTAAAAGGGATACTAGAAAAAGTGGAAGAAACTGCTTAAAGAAGCCAAGAAATGTGGAAACAAGTTCCCAAGTCAGAAGTTTTAAGTAGCTAAAAGTCATGCTTGCTAACATATTTTTGACGCACATTTCAGACCAACTGAGTAGTAGGTAATGCAGCCTTTAACTACATATTCTGTGTGCTTTCATGAGAGAGGAAAAGAAAAGGGACAGGAAACTGAGCTATTTACTCCAGAGTCCAATTCAGGAACTGTTCTAACTGAAGTCTCAGTTCCTGAATAAATCATCATCTCATTCTCATTAGTAGGACAATGGGCCAGAGTTGTTTACTAGGCATATGTGAGATGTGGTCAGCATGGTAAGGAGACTTCTGATAATGCTTAATGTTCAACTCCAGTTTCAACAGTCCCACCATTGTCTTTTAGGTCCAGTTTTTTGTTTTTTGTTTTTTTTTTTTTTAAGGTAAAGGAACTTGAAAACAAAACCAACAAAAGGACACACAAGCTTCAAAGATGCTTAAATGCATTAAATGCATGCAGGGAGACCTTTGTTTCAAAACAGGGTAACGCCAAGCAGATTTCTGCTGCCCCATACATGGTTAGCAAGGCAAGCAGCACAAGCTAAAGTTAGCTACGTTTCTTCACAGCTTTTCAAAAATCACATCCCAATATCACAATACACCCTAACTGTTTTGTGTGTACAGCTTGTTAGAGTAACACTTGGGCAAAACTGAAATGTAAGAGAAAGAAGTCAATTCAGAAATATTATTTAGAGACATCACCTCTCTTATGTCTTCATTGCCTTCCTTGATATTCTCTGTTGCACCCACAACTAACTGATGGATATTGTCAATATCAGTTTCCTGTTAAGAATAATAAAAATAAGAAACACGGATAAAGCTTAGGAAAAAACACCAGTAAGAACTCAAAAGTAAAATAAAATCTTATTAACATTGCAGCTTCATTTATGCTGCCTTCAGCGATGCAAAGGCACAGAAGTAATTAAGCTGTAATTTTTTAATCATCTGTGTCTTTATGAGTCTGAACTGAGGCCACCAAGATCAATAGAAAGTCCCCTGCTTACCTGCAATCAAATCTAAGCTGTCTGGTTTCTGACAGTTCCTCTGGAACTGACAGAAATCTGCTGTTATATAACACACTCAACAGAACACTAATTTTCAGACAGAGATCAGTCTAACACACTGCATTTTCCATTTCCACTATACACCAGTATGTAACAGTAGTGGTTACCATTCTGGATTTTGGTTTAAAAAGAAAACCCTAAAAAAATGTTACCTTCACATTTATGTGAAAAAATCATTAATCTTGTGTTTCAATCTTGCATAGAACCAAGAGCAAAATACACCCAGGAAAACCTTAAAGCAGTATTTGCTACAGTAACATCAAGTTTTACTAACCTGTTGCAAGACTTTCTCAGTGAATATCTCTTGTAATCTGGAAATTTCTACCACTTTTCCTTCAATTTGCCTTGGCAAAGAAAAGAAATACTCCGTTAGAAGCGCACACAAGAATTTCTCACTGCCTCAGGTTCAGATTCTCTGGCTCTGGATAAGCACCTCCCCTAGTACTGTATCTGCAACAGACAGCTCACTCTGCATCTTTTATAACTTAACTGAGATAGAATGTAAACCTTCCACATTTAACCAATACTATTTTGAGTAATTTTAATGTACACTTAAGAACCTGTCTTGACACTGTGAGAAAACATGACATGTAAATCCATACATGTAAATCCCTGAAGCACAGCGTCCCACAGCAGTCACAGTGCATGGATGTTATCCTGATTACAGCAGTTATCTGTCCAACGAACAGAAAATCTTACCTGACTTCATCAAACAGGTTATTCATTTCACCAACCAGCCTCTGGTTCTCCTGTTCAAACTGGAAGAAAGGAAACAGTCAGTCTCATCAGAGTTCACACGCCTGGACTCAATGAACTTTCTCCAGCCCCATCCCCACCTACCCACCCACCCTTCCCCTTTCTTCACAGAGCTCTTGCAGAATTACCACCATTTGCCTAAGTGACCCATATGAGCCTGCACATCCATCATCAACCACTGTAACGCTTCTCACTGTTATGAACCAGACCCAAAATTAACCTGCAGTTGGCTCAAGAGTTCTGCACTAAGGAAAATGTACTGCCTTAAACCTGTATTTTTTATTTTAGACATCTGAGTAGGGAAAACTTTCATAGTACGTGGTGCTCTGTCTTTACACCATCATTCACCTCACTCATGTACTACCCATGGCATAAAATCACAGCTTTTAGATTTCTCTACACTATGAAGCATTTTGCCATCTGATACTTCATACTTCACAAATGCTTTGGCCTCACTTCAGTTATCCCAGCCAACCTCTCTCATTTAAAACACCCAAGTAATCAATGAAACATTTAAATACACTCTCATGCTTGTATTTGAAAAATGCAGTTCTAAGTAGACTTTATGCAGGAAGCTTTGATTTTCCCCATGTACTTCAGTGTCAGATCAATTGGGATTCATTATGGAACAAGTACAATGACACAATCTGCTGCAACAAAATACACACTGCTGGAATACAGCTGAGACACATAACATGTCATAGTGGAGTTAGTAGGAAGCAGCCTTGTAAGGACAGAGCTTTCAGGACAGGGTATTGTGAGGCAGAGTTCTCCAGGTGCCAACATGAATTTGGTCCTGCAGTCCTTCCAGCAGAGCTGTTCAAGACACAGAGGAGCTGTGCTGTTGCCTCTTCTGCAGGCACAGGATACAACAATACACCTTCAGACCTTCCTGCAGCCTGCTCCTGCCACAGGTTTCTGCCATCAGGAACAGCAGGATGCTTCCTGTGGACGGGGTCACCAGTCCCGTTTGGGAGGGAGGGGTGAACTGAGGTGTTCTGCCAATTTATTCTACATGGCCAGAGCCTCAGGAACAGTGAGGACTCCCCGGTGTTTGCACATTTCTCATGAACTAAGACAGACCAGACACAGAAGCAGGATGCAGGACAAACCTACCCTGAAATTCTTACTTAGTGTGCGCTTTAAGAAGCTTCACTTCCACATCCTGAGTGATATACACAGCAGCCCCAATACCAGAAAACAGGATTAAAATCCCAAAGAATTTGACACTGGATCTATGCAAGACAGCAAGCCCAATTCTACTGCTGTTAATCTACTTAGTTTGAACTAGCTTTGGGATTTTGGTGTAATTCAATCAAGTTCCAATTTCATTAACAGAATCAGCGCAGCAAGGTGGCTGAGAGGAGTGCATGGTCTGGGTGTCCTTTCTGGGACAGAGCAGTGTGTTGTCAGCAAAGCGGCCCTGCTCACAAGTCAGACTGGATCTGCAGTCTGTGCAATAGGACCTGCTCACCTAATGAGCTAATGTCCAACACTTCAGCTTGCAAGAAAACCATGTGATGCTGCTGAATTAGTAAAATGAAGCCCACCACAGCAGCTGCCTGGCACAGCTGAACCAAGGGAGTGTGGATAGTTGGAACTAAGCTGCAGTGTCTCCATCTACAAAGCATTTGTTAAACCATAATTGACCAATACACAGCACATGGTTAGAAGTTTTCTGTCACTAAACTCCTTTACATTCACCTTGATGTGTCTCAGATTTTAAAGGGAGCCACCTCAGAACAAAGCAGTGAAATTAATCCATGCAGTTTAGCACTGAGTCGACTGCATGGACATGGAGGGATGAAGCAGAGCCAATAAGCTGTAATTGTTTTTCTGATTTCTGTAAGAAATAAGGATTTCTGCACACATATTCAACATCAAAATATCCCCATGCTGCTGTCTGAGCAAAACTGAGATAATAACTAATTCAGAAGGCACATGTTAAAGAAAGAAAGAGTGAATGCTTTTAACCCCTTACAAACAGCACAAATCCAATTAAGAAAGTTCTATTAAAAAAATAACAACAACAACCTTTGATAAAATCTTCCACTGGCATGAACTGCTTTTTAAACTGCCCAATAGTCTTTGCAATTTGAAATCGTGGCTGACAAACCAAATGGCTCAGTAGCAGGATCTGGTAAAACAGGCAAGTGAATAAAAGAGCACAGAACACACCACCACCTACCAGTGTATCCTCAGGGGGCTACATGATAGAGACATAAAACCAACTCCAGCAATCACAGCCCCCTGTGACAGCTTACTAAAGTAATGTCCTTGATGACAGTGAAAGACTGTTACCAAAGCATGGCAGGAAATGACCAACTGCTTCAGATATTCCCTAAAATCTAATGCCTGGCAGAAATAATTACAGTTCTTTTTGTCATCCCCTGAAATAAATCATTCAATGTGCTATACCTGAACTTAGGACAAAAGCCAAGATAAGTAGTCAGAAAAAATTATATATTTTCACAACTCAAACAGCAGATTTTTTTCCCACTCTTCACAACCACGAAACATCTGCTCATAAAAGAACACTCAGGTACTCAGTTGTAAATTGAAACTTACTGTGCAAATCATACAACAGCTTGCCACTACTTTGAATGATGTAGAAACCTCTGTTCAGATTAAAATAACGACATAAACTCCTGCTGTAATCATCCAATTGGGCTTGATTTCATTCTTCTACTTGCAGGAAAGCCCATGGAGCCACAAATGGGAATTTTACTTTCTTTTTTTTTAAGATATAATTTGACACAATGCGTTCCAATTTGAAACCACGCAGCAGGTTCTACACTATAACCCTCCCTCTCCTGAGGACTGCTAGGGTTATTTTTTTAGTAACTTGAATCGGTCCACTCTTCACAAATCAAACATTAAAAAGTAGAAATTTAACTTCTCTATCATAACAAACATAGTGCAGAGGAGTGATCATTAACTGACCTCGCAGCGGCACAAATTCCTGAAGCTGTGAGGGTTCATTAAGTGTTTGTAAAGACCTTCTAATTCCTGCACTAGAAGCCCAATTTATCAGTAAGTATTTCATATTACTTTGAAGTACTTGAATTATTTCCAAGTTATACCAATATTTACATCATGAAAATTAGAATAATGGCTCCACTGACATTAAAGTCCATTACACAGTACACAACTTCTAGTAATCAAGTCCAACTCTCAGCTATTACTTTCCTTGGACAGGCACTGAAGGTAGCATTGCTGTGGAGCTGTCACTGCACACGTCCATAGCCTCTGTCAGTAACAGTGTTCTCTAACCCTAAAAATTTTTTAAAATAATTAAAAGGAAAACAAAAATCTGGAAACACTGTAGGTCCATAGAACAGACCAATGGCTTGGCTCAGCTCACAGCATCAACACAAGTAGCAAAGTTTACCTTGGAAAACCCATTGTGCAAACATACATAGATAAAATTTTCAGTTTGCAGCTCAACAACCCCAATATATGCAATCCAATCCAACCATAAAGAATGACCTGACAAGAAATTACCTTCGCTGGGGTCATTTGCTATAACCAGAAATGGGCAGCTCACTTCCCACATGGCAACTAACTGGAGAAAGAGGAAATGTCTCCATTAACACTATCATGAATCCAGACTCCTTTTTTATGTCATAATAAACATACTTCCTTCAGAGGTATAATATGGAAGTAACTGATGCTTGTTAATTTTTAGCAGAGCAATACAGGCTTGCTTTCTAAGAGTGCTAGAAGAATCACAGAAACCACAGTTTTTTTCAGAATACATAATAATAAGTATGGCATGAGAGGGGTCTAAAAGGACAAGAATAATAATGGATACTTAGTCTCATGGCTCTCCCCCAGGACCAGCCAGACAAATGCCTCACAATAAGCAGCTCAGGACTGGAAATTCAGGAGTATGAAAATCCTTCAGAGTATTAAACTACCAACATGGTTTTTTGTCTTACTTCAGATTCAGATCACTCTACTACACAAGTCAATAAAGAGAACTTATTCCAGAGGGAAAATAAATCTTAGATGGGCAAAAAATCAGCATTTGAAGATGCTTAGTTTTTCTTCACGGTATAACAGAACAAACTCACAGGCTCAGGAAACTCTCGTAAGTCGTGAAGTATCTGAGGCCTTACTCTAAAATGTATAAATGGATTCCATAAAAAAGAAATGCATTCATTCCTGAAGAACCACAGCAAGAGATGTAACACATTTAAAACTTACTATAGAGAAGCCTAAAAAAAGCAATCCAGCACTTAGTAGTCAGTTTTTAGCATGCCCTTTCAGAGCTGGTGCCTCTGATGCTGTTCCCTCCTGATCCCCTGGAGGCTAATAACACTGTGTACAAGCACAGAACAACAGCTATATCCAACAAATCCTGCTCAGAGAGAAAACAGAAAGCAGGACTAAACCTTCTGATTTCAAACGTGTTTTCAAGTACAATGTGATAGCATCAAGAGCAACCTGCTCTCTTTGATAAACCGTAATTTTGTGCGACTTACTCATCCATGATGGGAAATGATGCACAATTCTACTTGGCAACATCCCAATTACTGCCAAGGAGCTTCAGATTTTCATACTGCAGCAACCCTGCACTGCAGCTCACCATTTTGAACACTGTTCACCCACAGGCTACTTATAAAGAAGTTTTGCCTCTTTATAGAAACAATGCAATGCGTGCATTACAATTACAGGAATGTCAAAAAGTAACAGACAGGCTGCCAGCAATCACTTGTATGTTGGATGTTGTCAGCTCAGTCACAAACAGAAATGGATTAAACTCATACATAAAACAGCTGATAATAGGAAAAATGCAGAAATCAATGAGATTCTGTTGTGACAGAAAGCTTATAGCTATTCTTTCTAATAAAGTCACTCTGATTTTGATTAACCTAATAAAGAGGAACAAAATGAAAAATAATTATTTGTCTTCTAGAAGAAGTCCAAGTCAAAAAGGGCTACTCACAAAATCTTTACTCATTCCTGCTCATTCCTGATGTTGCTTTGACTTCTACTTTGACAGTTTCCTAAGAAAGCAAATAAAACTTCTAATTTCAAAAACATTTTTCATTTCAAAGGACACTTCTAATTGGATCTGTGAGGTGATCACCTCCATGTATTCAGCTCTGGTGAGGCCTCACCTTGAGTTTATGTTCATTTTTGGGCTCCTCATTACAAGAAAGACTTGAGGCTCTGGAGAATGGTCGGAGAAGGGTAACAAAGCTGTGAGGGGTCTGGAGCATGAATCTTATGAGAGGAGGCTGAGGGAGCTGGGATTGTTCAGTCTGGAGAAGAGGAGGTTTAGGGGTGACCTCATCATTTTCTATAACCAACTGAAGGAAGGTTATGGCAAGGTAGGGGTTAGCCTCTTCTCCCACATAACTAGCAATAGAACCACAGGGAATGGCTTCACAATGCACCAGAGGAGGTTCAGGTTGGCTATTAGGAAAATCTCTCTCTCCAAAAGAGTGGTCAGATGCTAGAACGGGCTCAGGGAGGTGATGGAGTCACCATCCCTAGAGGTGTTCAAGAAACATGGAGATGTACTAAGGGACATGGTTAGTGGGAAAATATTGGTAGCAGGTGGACAATTGGACTGGATGACCTTAGATCTTTTCCAATCTTGGTGATCCTATGATTCCATGAAAATAGCACGGCTGCATGAAAATATTTCATAGCACTTTGAAGTATTACTGGCTACGAGAAGAACCAGGAATCTGTGTACAAAACGTGCATCTTGTCATGGCATTGCTCTGCATTAAATGAAAGCTGTAAATGAACTTGTGTAACTCTGAACTTTCTTAGCACATATGAACACAGCAGGAAGCACAACAAAATGGACAATAAGACTAAGTGCATACTTGCCATTTGTATTTCTTCAGGTGACAGCTCATCTTCACCTTTACCATCCCCCCATAGGCCAAGGTTAGACTGAGCGTCGGGCAGATTCCTGTCTGTAACAGAACAACCACAGTTTGAGACAATGCAGGACAGTGAGCAGTGAAGCAATAAGCATTTTTCATTATTTCTAAGCTCTGATAAAACTGTTAGATAGCATTTCTCATTAACTGAGATTGAGCATACAGTTATAGCACAAAATTACACCAATGGCCTTTAAATTTTAAACTAGGGCAGAGGTGTACACGTACATGAGAATTTCTGGACTATGAGGAGTTGGACTAAAATACTGACACTAAGACATGTAAAACAACTCACAGTAGACTGAGGCTTAATAGGGCAGAATATACCACAGCATCTGAATGTAGCAGAACAAAACGAGGGGGTCCCTGCCCACAGCAGGGAATTGGAACTCCAACCTAAGCTATTCTATGATTCTAAAACAATTTTCAAAATGACAGCCTATATGCAGAGCTACTTCTTCCAATGAGATTTGACAGAACCACCAGCTCCTCATTCTTCAAATATAAGAACAGACTCTCAAAGACATCTTGAGCAAAGCTGACAAGAGAAATCTGGCTTCCACATATTGCTAAGACTGCATTTTGCAGGGCAAATCCCACAGCACTCTGGGCAAGGGGCCTTCCTGCACGTAACAGAGTCAGTTCTGAACCCACAAAATAACCCCTACACATCAGAGCTGCTCCACTGATTTCACCAGCACTTTCCCTTTGATTAAAGCTAATCATCTGCATAAATCTTAGCAGGAGTTGGGCATAAAACATCTTCAATGGCTATTTCTAGGATATTCCCTTCTAGAAGATTTATTTTTAGGCTTAATTATATACCTCTAATTATAGACAAGGAAGTTAGGATGGGAACAAAAAGGAACTTTACAACAGGAACCTACTGCTTCTGAAGCTGCTCTAACATTGGTTTAAACTGACAGTAACACTGCAACCTTGAGAAGGCCTCCTTCCCTCAGAGGCATTTTTACAAAACCCAAAACAGAGATTTGCACCAAATGCAAATGAATTCAAATTTGAACTTGCTTTAACTTATCAGTTGCAAGCTGCAAACTAAATAAGATTTAGTTTTCACTTCTTCATAGCTTTCAGGCTTTCTATTTATTCTACTTGTTCTCCTGCTTTTTGGGGGGTTCATTGGTATTCCTGGGTTTTGTTTGTTTTTAAGGCATTTACAAGTCCTGCCATTTGTTTTGCTATGGGTTTTTAAACCTTTAATACTTTTTTTTTTCTATTGTATTAGCAGTATTGATTATCATTCAGATCACTAGTTCTACTGAGAAGCCCTGAATGGAGTAGTCCTATTTATGAAAAATATGTTAGAAGTATTATAAGAAGAAATTTTCCCCTTTAATCCTTCATCAGAATATTTGCAAAAATTTTTGAAAAATACATATTGTAAGAGAGCATTGCTGGACATTCTGATTCCCAAAAACCAAACCAGGATGGATAAACAGTGAGAATGTTACAAATGAAGGATACAGTCTCTAAATAAAATACCCGTTCTTTCTTACAAGTAATAAGGAAGAAAAACAAGAGCATTTCTAAACATTGTAGAGAAAGGATTCAACCTGATGTTTTCCACTGGGCATCACCAGTATTTTCGATCTATTTCACAAAGACACAAAACTTACAATTTAAAAATATTGATTAGGTAAACAAATATCAAAATTTATTGGATTCAAAGAAGAGAAGATAATTAGTTTACAGAGCTAAGAAGTATGTTATATTCCTGTTTTATCCCAGAGGAACCAATTACTCTCAGGCACTGTCAGCACTGTTAAAAAACAGCATCTGTATCCAATGTGATTGCTAATAAGTAAATACCCAAGTAAGAGGTAAGTGAGAAAGACATCTCCCCAGAGCTGCATTCTGTCACCATGGTACATTTTTGGTCACTTTGAAAGGTGCTCTGCTCAATGCTTTTATACAATTCATCCAGTAAAATCCAGACAGGAAAAAGAGCTGTGTTTCACTTGCTGAAACAGATGTAGTTAATTAATAATGGAGATACAAACTGAAGATCAAATAATAATAAAGATGAACCCTTCTCCATGCTGAGGGAAAATAGCTGCTAAGACAGTGGACCAGTTCAAAAGCTACTTATTATTTACTTTTATTTCTATAAATGAAACATCAGATTTGAAATATGCAAACAAATACTGCCAGCAGAGCATATCTCCAGAGAGACAATTCTCCTACCACAAAGGCATGCCCAGCATAACCCCAATGTAAGTAGGTGCTTTGTCTCAAAAGTATCACATTTTGGTTTATACCTCCCAAAACACCAGACAAAACCCAAGTGGTGCCCTGGCACTCCAAGGAGGACACTCAGCTTTTCATCATAATTTTAAAATTAAGGACAGGACCACAACCTCTCCCAGAAGAGCTATCTGTACAGCTGGGACATTTAAACAAGGAACCCAAGCACTCTGATGACCAATATTTCAGAAATACAAACGACCATAATGTTCTAAATCACCAATACCCTGAGGAATAAATGGCTTATTTCTGAACACAAACATCTTCCCAGTGTAGTTACTTGTTAAAAAGTCAAAAAATCAAAGATTTGAACAGATGTGTCTGTCCATTAATCAGCTCATTCACGTTATTGCCATGTGCCTACCAGTGAAGCCACAAGGCTGACTTCTATGAACAGGAGCTACAAAATGCACATTGCGTGCACTTACAGTGCATTTCAGGCAGATTTATGTTGATATACAACTTTTCTAGTTTTGTCTAAGACTGGTCAGCATCGCCTTTAACTACGGCACAAACTAGTAAGAACTAAAACTGGACTAAACAAAACATGTAATAAACTAAGCTTAATTTCTGTTTATTACAGTGGTTTGCTGTGTCCAAAGCAACCACAGAACACTTTTTCCCCACAGAGTGGCACAGATTTCTGAGCAGCGATGCTTTGCACGGTGCTTTCGGAGACTGTGGAGAAGTTCAACAACAAGGAAAGCACTGAGCTCTGCAGTTGTTACTGTGCTGTTCCTTTTCTGTTGGTAAGAACTCACAGCTGTGATATACTGATAACGTGTTAAGGTGAAACTCATCCATGTGCCTGTGTGCTGCATTTCTTAAGACATACTATAAAAAAAGTACTAAGCACTAGAAATGACATCCCATCAAAACCTTTACTTCTTACAGTAAATTCAGCCTTCAGAGAGGAGAAAAAAACCTAGCGTGTATAAATAGGGCTGCACTGCAGACCGGTTAGAAAGATAAGAAATACCATATAAGAAAAGAAACAGTCTGTTTGTTGTGAGGTATTCAATATTAGAGTCTTCATTCAGAAATGGAGTACCCCCTTCACATGAATCCACCATCTATAAGTCACTCCTCAGAAAAACTTCGCACGTCATAAAAAACAAGAAACAACAGATTAGCAGAGTAATATGGCCATTTGGTGCACTTTTTCCAATCCTGATGAAGCATTATCCTAATGAAATGCCTCGCTTGCCACAGTTTGTTTCCCTCCAAACATAATTTTCATGCTGTAATCACACCATATCTCAGACTCCTCTAGACAGTACCAGCAGACAAGTCAAGCCAGGGAGAACAGCTCCAGGATTGGGAAAACAAGATTTCTGTTCAGGTATGAAACCTGAAATTATCTGCACAGCGGTAGCACTCAGAAGGACACTCTGCAATAAAGTTCTGTAAGTGTGCACACCCCAGGATGGACCACGGGGCCATCTTGAGAAGTGTCTGGGAGGAGACTTACATACACAACCTCAGACGCAGCCACTAAGGAATTAGTGAGTTCTGTCAATACTGGCAGCTGAAATGACTGTGAGGACAGAGATGCTGCTTTAAACTTGTGGCTATTTCATGCCTACTGAAAGAGAAGATGCAACCCTTCCAGCAAAGAAATTCAAGGCTGTGCCTGGCCAGCCATAAAAACCCCTTTAAGAGCATATTCTACCTTTGTGATGCTACTGTAGACATGCCTATCTCAACATCTCTGTGCTTAAAATCTAAGAACTACTGCAAAGCCACTGAGCTATTTTCCAATTCCTTGCGATCAGTCAAAGGGATCTAGAAAATGAAGCAGATCTCAGAACTGAAAAGATAGTGAAAAAATAAAAAGGAGAGTTCACACAGAGTTTATTGAGGGAATGAGGAAATCCAGCAAGACTTTTTTAGCTGGTTGGAAGAACATCAAAAAGCTTAAGACTGCTTCCTCACTCCCACAGCATGCTTCTCAAAAGCCCAATCAACTCAGGGAAGAAGAAAACAAAAGTGCAAATTACAGGAATAGGCCCATAGCTGTTTTATTCTTACCTTTATTTTCCTCTGCAGAAAGTTTTTCTTCAGACTCATCTAAAGAATTCTGTGAACATTTTTCAGGAGAAAGAGCTGATTTGGACACATTGCTCTGCTCAGGTTCAAGTTTGGACCTACAAGCACAAGAGCCTGCAATTTAATTGAGTGCAACTGCATCTCTAAACTAAGAAAAAATACAGATTACTTAAATTCATCACACTTCAACCTGCTCTTGCATAGACTTCATAATGAAGATTTCCCAGTCTAGATATAAAATATACTTGCAGTCTTCACTGAATACTATTACAAAAGCAAAGAAAGAATGTAATCTTGAACAATACACATCACATCTTCTCAACTCTGAATAATTTCGAAGGCCACAGCATGAAAACCAGGCATTTTGTTAAACTTCCTTTCAAAAAAAATCTTTCATATTAGAGCATATAATATTTTTGTCACACTGAAATTTTTTACTAAAAAATAGCCATCTCACCCAGTTAATTTTTTCAATTACCATTGTTACCATTTAACAGTTTACTTTATATTTTAAATTATCATGAGAAAAAAGCAAGAGAAATAGCTCTTTCCTGAAGCAAGTTTATTTTATTTAACTGGGTGTAAGGAATAGTTTAACCAGACCAGAGCGATCCTTACCTTGTCTGCCAAGAGACACAACAGACCATTTAGAAGCAAAGAAAAGAAAAGCTGTATGTAATGGTCAGATACACATGCCATTGAAATCCCTGCTATGGAATTTCAATACAAAACCAACAAAAAATGAGAAGCATATTCAGTACTTATGTCAGTACTTCTGTACTTGTCAAGGATTTTTCACTGTGGCACCATGAAGTCTAAAATGAGTGGCTAAATACTGTTTTTTCTAGTAAACCTTCATGGTCTACTGTTGTCTACAATGAATTCTGTAACTACCTAGTTGATGGTTAAATGCTTAGCAATTATGCTGATGGAGAAGCTAAAGAACAACAACAACAGAAAACCACCAAGAAATAACATGCTGCATCACCTGCTGTGCCACCTTCATCACTTCCTCCCCTCTCAAATATAATCAACAGTTAATCTCATTATGATCTACGATCTTCTCCTGCTGCTCAACAGAAGGTGTTGCATTTTGTGTCTTTCCTCCTTTGTATTGAATCTAAATTCTAACTCATAATTAGAAAATTCTGAGAAAAACAGTATCACGTATTAGTCATCACTGGCTGACTACGTTATTTAAACAAGGAGAAAATAACAGGATGAATTTATTAGTTCTAAAAACTCTGCATGTCTGATTTCTGGTCATTTCACACGGAAGAGTTTCTCATCTCTCCTCACTCAAGTTTGCTGAATACCAAGGAATAAACCAAAAAACTTCTCTGGGTGTCCATACCATTCAAATTATAATTCTGATACTATAAAAACATTAATTCAAGATGTAATCAAATCAAGCTGATTTTAGTAACTCCAGACATCATTCACAAGAAATTATAATGGAAAAATATTTGAAATGAAATATAAATTTGGATACCAATAAACACACAAACTGAAAATTCAAACCAAGTACATTTATAGTAAAAGCTGATTGTGTTTCTATTTCCCAGCATTTCACTTTGGGGAACCATCCCTATGTAATTGGCAGAATTTTTTAAGCAAAAAATATAAGGGCATTGAAAAGAGCAACTTATTTAAGAAAACAGTAACACTCCAGCCACTTGCTGAAGAGTTAGGATGTTCAGCTATGTAAAAGTAAACATGACAAAGTGTATTTTTTACTGCAAACATCTAAGAACTATCTAATAAGCATATATAAGACCTGCACTAGGATTAATTTACTTCTAAATAAATGTATTCCTTCATTAGTTGTTGTCCTTATTTTCCACAGTATAATAATCTACAAAGTTTTCAATTAAAAATGAACAAAACATCTGGAAAGCACTACTTGATGTAGTTGAAGTGCTGGGATATATTATCACATAAAATGTCTGCTGAAATCGCAGGGGAAATTACAAATCAACTAGTTGAAATCACATGAAAAAAGGAGTTTTCTTCAAGTCATCACAAAGATTGATTTATTCCCTGCGATTTATTTAAATTAATTTTTAATTTAAATGACAATTAGGCCATTATATCACATCTGCAATGCATACAGACCCCACCTGGCCAACGTCTGGTTTTCAATTCTTATGCCCTTACAGAAGAGGCAAGGAAGTACTTTCCAGCATTTCAGAAAAGGGCCGCATCTTCTGGGCTATTTCTTAATGCCTTATTACTCTATTAATTAAATGATCTTCTAACTTCTGGCATAGCTCTTTTTCACTGTACAAATCAGATTGACTTGTTTTGCCTGGTTAGTCACCTGAGAAATCCTAGACCTTGTATTTAACATGGAAACAAAAATAGAACAAAGCAGTTGATATTTATTAGCCAATTATAAATAGGAGAGAAACCATGCTAACTTCATTTGAAATTCCTTACAATGAAGAATATCAGTAAGGTTAGGTGTTTTTGCACATGAAGAATGTCACAGAGCATGTTTCTGTATGGTTCCTTTTTCCATAAGGTTATAGGCTCTCAGCATTTTTGTAACTCCTATCTTAATTTTCTCTCATTACTATCTACCAAATTTCAGAACTGGTCTGGCATATTTTGTTTGCTTGTTTTTGATTTATACTTCTATTTCTGTCTCAGGAAGAAATACATAAGTGAACACAATTGCATTTAATCATGCTGAATCACTCTGAGTAAAACGTACTTATGGACTTCTCAAAACATCTCTCTAATTTCAACATAGTAACTGATAGACTAAATATACAAAAAAAAAAAGGAAACTCCCTTAAAGGTATGGTTTTTTGACATTTGGGGCGGAGAGCCTGCAAGCACATCATCTTTAGCTACTTCTCCCACACATTTCCACCTCCAGGTTAGCAGTCTGAGGCATGAGGACAAAAGCAGATACAATTTGGTTCAATTCAGAAGTTACAAACAAGAGTCTGATTTTGAGCAATTTTCTATCTGCTGTGAAACTTTGATATCTGAAGGAGAATTCATTCACAACATAATCCCTTGCTCTAGCAGAAAAACAATGGTCTAAGGAAGGGGAACAAAATGGAAGAACGACAGAGAGAAGGAGAGAAATGAGTATTTCTTGTACCAAAGCAGATGTATTCTAAATAACATAAGACAATAGCAATGTGCAGAATTTTACTCTAAACTATTTTATATGAAGTATTGCTTAATGGGAAATCTACGAATACACCAAGATATTTTTAAATCTCCGGTAGGTTTATTATCCCACTTTCTACTAACTTGGTGCTTTAATCATGTACAATAAGAATAGCATACAACTCCGTGTTGACGTTCTGCCATTTAAAGAATTAACTTTACAGACAAGAAGTAAAAGAGAGCTCTGGAATGCATCTGTTGATAGTAAAAGTTCCTGACCCAGCTAAAGATTTCCATCTAAGACAATCTCCTTAGAATCTAAACATGAATAGAGGTTTTGCTGAATGTCATACAAACTGAAAGGCACGGGTTAATCTGTTTTGTTTATGTTTTGAGAATGAGAGCTCACTACTCACAGTCTCTTCTTATCTATCACTCGCTTAACTCGGATGGCTCTTTGTTCTGAATACAGCTTACACACTCCTGTTTGAGAGATCAGTAAAAAACTTCAGGTTAGGAGAGCGTGATTTCTTCCATGGAAAATACACTCATTCGTTTTTAACCACTCACTACTGCAGAAGAAATATTACATACTTTTTAAGTAGTCTTCAATGAAGTCTAAGACAGCTGTTCTGTGCTCCTTCACCTGAGCAGACTGGATGTCCTTGTGTGCTGAAAGATACAACATGATCTTTTAACTGGTTATTGAACTGCACAAAAGTCTGCATTTTCAGTTCATACACAAGAGCTTACTTACGTTCTATACATATTACACATAACTATTTTCAACATCGCTATATTTAAGCATAGGTTCTGTAAACAAGTAAATTATTACAAGAAAGTAAAACCTCAAACCAACTTGTGTCACATAATGCTTGTTATTTTTATATATGCTGCTGAGTCATATTATCTCCATAAAGTTTCTAAACAAGAACAGATGTCATCAAGCTAAGCATTGCGGAACAGCTCTAGAGACTTCAGTCACTTAACATGCTGAACTCCTGACATTTTAAATTCTCCAGAGTACAGACTATGCAGACATCTTTGGGATTATGTCTAGCATTCTTTCAATTTAAATATTTGTTATTTTGATACTATGAAATCTCTATGACTTACTCTATGACTTTCAGTGATTCTGAATAACGTTGCAAGATAGCATCCCAAAGCTGAAAATCTTTAGAATGCTGCTAAAATACATACATACAAAAAGACAACCTGAAAATGGCAAAACAAAACTTCTTTCCTCAACTTTCATGAAACTGTATTGTAAGAATAGTATTTATACAAATACTTGACAAACTGTCAACCTGATGTTACGTTACCTGGACTCTGTGCTATGGTGTTCCCATTCAGAAAAGTAAAATTGTTAATACTTCTCATAATGAAAATTATATATTTTGGTGCACTTGTGAATTTTCTGTAGATGTATATAATACACAATGTTTTACAATTAAAGTATTATATTAAGAAATACTAATTTGTTTTGGGTTTTTTGTTTATTTTTTATTTGAGTTCAAAATTATAAAAGCTACACTCGACAACTCAAGAAAACGTTCACAGTTGTTGAAAATTTCTGAAGAGTTGATGTAATGATATGGATGTTACTCCATTTCACACAGTGACTTAAATATCTCAAACTCGGAAAGAGTATCCCTGTGAAATGTTACAGGTAAGCACCATAGAAAGAGACAGTCACTGAGCTTTGGCTCAGTCCTCTAACTAAACAGTAAATATGTAAGACTATCATTTTTATTTAAGAATAAAACACACCACACTTGTTAATTAGTGTACAAGAACAAATAAAATTCTATGCTCTGGCTTATCCTTTCATTTATGTGAAAGAATCAGTCACGGTTCTACTCAGTCAATGGGATGGATTATAAAATGAAATAAAAGAGGAATGAGACTTTACCAGTCTCTTTACAAAAGCATTCCAGAACTCACAATGCCACGCAATATTCATTCTCATATGAGCCTTAACCAATAACTAAGAAAGAACATTTAGAAGTTGCTCAGTTTACCTTCTGTTCTCAGCTGATGAATGGCATCTGCACACGTCCTCATAAATATCTGAGCATCTTGATCTATCTGATCACGCTCGGTATCTGTCATCCTCCCATAATCAGACATAATATGGCTGAGAAACAAGACAAACTGTCACTTATGAAATTCCCAACACAACACCTACAAGTATACATTTGGGATCTTCTTCCCACTCACCATCTCCACAAAAAGTCTTTCTGCAACACTAATTTTCACAGAACAAGGAGACATAAATTATTTGTATGAGTAAAAAGTACAATATCCATCAATTCTATAGAGCTGGGAGGTTTTTTAGAACATTTGTTTAGAGTGGTAAAAGATGTAGGAAGAACAATATATCCTATAATCTCTTATATTATCCAATGCTGAGCAAATAAGGAGAAAATACAACCAGAAAATGAATACTTCTCTAACTGTGCATATTTCACTTCTAAATATAAAGAAAACAAGTAGAATAGAGGAATAGTTCAAATACTGAAGAAAGTATAACAGTTTGTAATTTATTTCACTTATGCATGTTTTTATTTCCTAAATGCTGAGCTTCATTTTTAAAGTAATTATATTATGAAATTTGTGAATTCAAATCATAGTACCAAAGAACATCAGAAAATAGCATCCTTTTTTATATCAAGTAGACTAAAAGACTTATTAAAACCTGTCCACATTGTTTATTTCTATTTTAGCTGATCCATTATACATTTAATATATTTTCTAGTAGGCTTGGTATACTCTTATGCTACTAAATTAGTAGAAATGGAGGCCAATCTCAAAAGGCCAAATAATGCGAGTGAGTTTGAGGTAGAGCTTTCTGTTCAAATGTTATATGGTTCCAGAATATTTGGAGGTTTACTTCAATACATTTGAAAGACTTTATTCTTTCCTGTCAGTAAAATATTTATACACTGTAGATAAACACCAGAAAGCCGTACTATATAGAGGTACTTTAATGCACAGTTGGTTGATAGGATGGGAAGACTGTGCTACAGCATGTTATCCAATGTTTATCTTGGGCCTTCGATGACCAGTCATCACTGTCTGTTATAATTGTCTTTAAACAGGCAAGAAAACCTAAATGAATAAAATCTACTTTAACTTAGACTTTTATATGTGAAAAATTTCCCACTTGTCCAAGATAGGAATAACACTATATTAATGCAATTAAACAAGTGAAAATAAGGGGGTGTCATTTGCCAAATTAAGCCTTATACCCTACAGATGTTTCATGCTCCAATGCAACGATGCCAGGTCTGCTGCAATTCCTGCCACAGAAATGCCTCCAACCAACTCACAACACCCCACCTCTCCCCACTATCCTCTCCCACTACATGTCACACCATCAATTCCTTCCTGTACATCAGCATATCAACACTGTGCTTCTGCCAGATCTCCTCCACTCATTTTTAGGCTTACTCTAATGACCCTGAGAGTTATATCAAAAGATCTTCATCCTCACCCTGCATAACTGGTTGCATATGAAAAAGGCAACGCTTAGTCCTGGCTTGAAAAATCAGTAAGTGCTGACTGGCAGCTAATACACAAATCAGCCAGCAAGCAGAAAGGCCAACTAATTAGAAGTAATATTCACTGTTTTCCTCTTGTTTGTTTCCAAAACTGTCACCTATTTGTCAGATAAATCCTGGGAATTTTCCCTTCTGATTAAACTATTCTACTCTATAACTTACAGAAAACTTTCAGAAATGTTTTCAACTTGTATTTTAATAGCTGTATTACTCTTTTCTGGTTGGGTAATAACAGTGAGCCTGCACATACAGCAAATCCATCCCACCACCATCCTCTAATCTTATTGTAGAAAGAATCATTATTTTAAAAAGAACAGGCCAAAACGAGGAAAGCAACACTACTACCACAAACCATTAAACAAATAAACAATTAAACCAAGTGTGTTCCATATGTCACAGATGCAAAGACTTGCTTAGAAGTACTACCAGTGACATTATCATAACAGTGAGATGCTGCATCACTAAAACAGGAGAGATCACATGAGTCCGGATGAACCAAAAGCAACCACAAGAACTGGCTTGAGCACAAGAAAAGCTTTGGCTATTGAATACAGATAAAGAAGAGGAAGAGAGTGCAAAATTCTTCTAGACGTTTATTCTAATCAACTGGAGAAAGCTTCATGGGAAATGTGGACTGGAAAGCAACTTGGATTATTTGTGATTCTTAAAAAGGGGTATTGGAAAATTGGAAAGCAAGGAAAAGACAGTGGCTTTCAAGAAGGAAGACACCAATAGTCTAAAAAATAAAAATACATAAATTAGGAAGTTGAACTGCACAGAAATGGAAACTTAAGATGAAACAGAAAAGAGTCCAGGTCCACCAATGGTCTTCCTATAGAAATGATGTTGGGATACCTTGCAATTCTGCCCTTGATCAAAGGGAAGAACAGGCAATGCAGTAAGAGATCAACTATGCTATTTCAAGAGCTCTTCACTGAGTTCAAACACAATAAAGCAGGATACAGAAAGTGCAAATTAGGACTGATTGCTACTGACAACTCTAAAGGAACATTGCACAGAGGGATGCAATCAGAAAAGGGTCAAATCCAGGATAAGACAACTGGCAAGGGATGCCAATGATAACAAGAAGTTACTCTGCAAACATTAACAAGAGAAAGACCAAAGAAAATGTTGGCTTGCTACTCAGAGAAATAAAACTATATGCAGAGAATGAAGAAAACCTAGATGTTCCTGTTTTTTTCTACATTAACTTTCAACGCTAAGTTAAATTTTAAGCTGCTGTTAGTATTCCCTTCAAATCACTGCTTCTGTCTGAAACATCTGGGCCCAATTTAACACCTTTGACCTTCAGAAAAAATGTAACAATTTTTAATTGATACTTTCATCAGTAATAGCAAGCACAAAGTGCTATTTTGATAACAGGATGCTGAGTGAGTGAACGCCTGAGGAAAAGTACTGGGCAATCCAGGTCATTGCACAAGTTTATCTCAGGGTGCAGCGCTTCTGAGCTAATGCTGAAGGTAAAACTGATGGAGGATATATTCCTCCTATTCATCTACAAATGGTGCAGTAGGAGGAGGGGAAACTGGCTTTAAAAAAATATCCCAGGTGAACACATATCCATATAGTATGCAGAAAGAAGAGACAAGGCTCTGGAATAAAATAGGAAATGCATCAAATTAAAGGATTTATCCTCACTGCCAGGAGAGTTCTAGGTGGATGTAAGTGCAGCATCTGTATTTGAAAAAAGGAATGTTACAAAACATTGCTTTGAAAAACAAAGCAAATAATGTACAATCTCTTGGCGCAAATAAATGCGATAGAAGAAACAGGTACTGTTTAGACATGAAATGGGTTGGAAAGCTGAACTCACAGTAGTATAAACCAAACCAGAAGGACACAATGAGTTGTGTTCCACAGCAGTCTATCCTGGATCTGACCCTGTTGAAGGCCTGCATGTATACTCCATTTCACTGTTCAAGTTCCCATTTAGTACTTAGTGCTTAGTGCTTCTGAGCTGGGCCCATTTGCAGGGCCACAAAGTTAAGCAAATTAAAACTGACTTAAGAGAACAAGACTTCGATACAAAACAATATTGACAACTTGGAGAAATGGCAGAAAAAATTGGAATGAGGAATGCTCAAAGGCTCTTTGCTGCAGCAGGACGAATTACCTGAAGATTCTATGAGAATGGGGGACAAGCAATTAGGAAGTAGTACTTCAGAAAGACATCTGGGATCATGAACTAAACAAAATAACAAGAAGTTGCAGAAAAAAAGTGATAATTTTTGTGGGATGCATAAATGCAACACAACCCATTGCAGATAAAAGGTAGTTTTTTTTGCAGTCCTTAGCATTGGGCAGGATGATTCAGCTCAGCTGAAGCACTGTTTCAGTTCTGCAACTCACTGTAACACCAGATGGGACAGCATCCAAAGGAGAGGAAAAAACATGACCAAAGAGAGTATATATGAAAATCTAAACACACTGTAGTCACTGATTCCAGAAAAGACTGAAGAGAAAACAAAATAAGTTAATGGGAAAAAAAAAAATAATTAAAAAAAGCTAGTAGCATGGATAAGGAAACAGAAAAGGCAGAGGGAAAATATAGAATCTCCACTGAAGGACATACCTAAAAGCAAGCAAGTCAAGGTGTTAAGAATGACCTGCTTGTTCCCTTGTTTGAATAAGTGTCAGCTATGTTCATTCCAACGCACCATTTGTGTGAACTTATTTTGCTGAAAAAGCACAGGGAAAAGTCTATGGAGTCATTACATCAGCTTTTGGAATTAGGAACTCTTTCTGCTGGTGCATGAAATATTTTCTGCTTGCTCATTCAATGAAGACACTAAACCAAGCAGAAAAACTTGGTTTTCTTCCAATAATGCTTTACAAAATAGAGAAGTAAGGTAAAAGCTTCTCAAATGACAGAACATCTCACAGCAACCTGTGCAGAAGCTTCGGGTACTACAGCAGGCAGTACAGGCACATCTGAGTCAGTATTTTCAGTTTTGTAAAATACTGCTGAGAAATTCCAGAATGCTGTTAAGAAGAATGGATTATTTCTAAGATGTGATATATGAACCTAGTAAACTAAAAAAATAAACCATTTGACATTAGAACCCTAGAGAACAGAGAAATGCTATATATTCACCCACAAAGACGATGCTAGACTTTCTTCCAAAGTCCTAACAGGTCACCTACACATTTCACTGCTTCTTATAAAAACATAATTAAGTTATTGTAATAAAGCAAGCTGGCACTGTGGGGGAGACCATCAGAGACTATTTTTAGAATCTTTTAATGGTTACTGATTTTCTTTTACTGGTTACATCAAGGGAATACTCTCCAGAAAACACAGGGCATGTGCTCAACAATCTCCTATTAGCTGACAAACATGTAATTGATTTATTGCATTTTTTTTCCAGCTTTAGTGGGTAGATAAATGTTTGTGCCAAAAGAACAATTACTTAACTCCAACAGTATTTATGACAAAAATAATTCTTTAACATTTTTTTCAAAGCACATTAACTGATGTAAACCACATACGAAATGTTCAAGCACTGAACTGTACATATGACCCACAAAAGGATGTTGTGAAGATCAGAAGCCATCCATCCCACCTTTCTCATAGAAATAAAAATAATAAATAAATTCAACTCAGAACCAACCTGCATAACACTGATGAACTAAAAACATACCTCTACAGTTGCAAAAGTCAGTAAATTAGATGTTAGATTATCACAGAATCATAGAATGGGCTGGGTTGAAAAGGACCAACAGTTATCATCTAGTTTCAACCTCCTGCTATGTGCAGTAGACCAGGCTGTCCAGAGCCACATCCGGCCTGGTGATTCTTTCCCTGAAAGAAAGATCTCCTCTCAGAGATTTCCCTTTCAAGTATGAGGTGTTCTACCATCAAAATCCAGAACTCTTAATTCATCTCCAATGTCCGGTTAAATTAAAACAGTAAAGATAACTGCTGACCTTTGAATTATCTCAGCCTAGAAAGTTCCTCTGGAGAAACTGGATACCTGCAGAGGAACATTTCAAATACCCAAGTGTGAATGCAATAATACTAGTTCCTAGAACCACAGGTAATACAAATGTACAAACGATCAAATGGTTCAATGATCAAAAACATGACAGAGCTCATAATGAAAGGCAAGATACAAGTTGTTCACATCAGACAACTTACCTAAGAATGAATAAAGGATCTCACCAAAGAAAGCAACGTAGAAATGCATTACACTAATGTACAGAGAGGAAGAACATATGGAACACACAGCAATAATACTCTGAAAAAAGCAAAGGCAAGTAACAATTTTTATCTCAAAAGAATGAACAGTTTGCTTAGCAAGGAAAAAGAAGTCACCCACATCTCACTAATGTATGCAGGAATGAAGAGTTCCTGCCTCCACCTTGCCAGAGAAGAATTATTATAATTAAGAAGAGATAATTCTTATCAAAGAATTTGATATTTGGACTTTACAGAATTACAAAAGTTTTTTTTTGTTTTCTTTTAAAAGGTACTGATCATCACTAACTCTCACTAAATACAGACACATGCTGAATGTTACATTGCAAGGAAAGTCCTTAAAGACTGCAATTTAGCAGGAATGAAATTCTAACACTCCCTTAAAAAAAAAAAAAAAGACAATCAAATAAACAAAAAGGAACCACCACCATACATTTGGAAAGAAGTTTGATGGAAGAGCTTCTATACGTACCCTTCTGTAAATCAGTCTTCTAACTTGTGTTGCCAGTGGAAGATGGCACTACTAAAACCTTCTGAAGTTATAATCAGAGAAGAGTAATGGCAGATAGGATACAACAGAAAAGATGACAGAATAGAAAAATTCCCTACAACAGAAAGCTGAAAAAACAAAGTGTAAGGGTATGACAGTGAGTCCCGATGAACAGGAAAGAATAAAGATGCAATGGCTTAAAATGAGTAAGCTTAGATCACTCCATCACTTGTTTAAGGTTTGCCTCATACATTACAGCTAACAGTCAAACCAAGAAGAAAAGAAGCGAACATGCAACTAGTAATTCTTGAGCTTTCTGGACTCGATTTAGGCATTTCAGCTGAATATTTAAGGCCTGATGAACTGGGTCTGGACCTTAGCTCCAATTAATCCTTTTTCCAGTTGTCTAATTTCTAAAAATATTGCTCTAAAAATGAATTAAAGATCTCCCCTCTGCAGAACGCTTTATATGTGCCCCCTCAATAAATATTACTAAAGAATTCATTCTGCAAATGAATTAGTCAAATTTCATTGCCAGAATTAAGCCTCCTGCATAAATCCCCAGCATAGCTTTTTTGTATTAGAATGTTGTAAAATCTTCCCTGTAGTTTAAGTATGTTATTAAAATTGCTGTCATAATGAGTGAAGCATTTGTTAAGACCATGAGACTGACGGTATGGATGCTATGGTCCTCCTTGTATCCACAAACATGGAATTTGACAGCACTATCTAAATCTGACCTTTAAGTACAAGATCAACTGCAAACAGATGAGATTCAGTTTATTATTTTGTTGTTCAAGAAAGGAAATGGCACTTATTTTTCTTCTCTTTAGCTAATACCTAGGGCAGTGAGAGGAAAAATCACTGAAAACTTAATAACTGGCTAAAAGAGTTTACAAAAAGAACATTATCAGTTTTTAGAAACCAAAATAGCTTGGACAAAATCTGTACTCTGTGTTCTCACTTCTATTTTATGCACACATTGCTAATAAAACCTAGAAGTTATCCACTGACAGTTTGTTCTTTCTGCAATTATTTGCAGTTTCTCAGCTTATACATTCACATGAAGTTTTCACACAAGAAGTTATTTCAGTATTCAGTTGGTAGCTCCACCTAGTGTTATTCATTACCTATTCCAAAAGGAACTTAAAAGCAGAGAGCCAGACATAATACACACATATACTCTACTTTTGCTTGCTGCTTGGAAAAGCAGTTTCTCATACACCTTCCACATAGGATTCATTTTCATTAATACTATGAATAGCTCTAATTGCCTCACATTTCTAAAGCACTTCAAAATCTTCACTTTTGAGGCTTCGTTTTTGCAATAGCAAAAAACAGCTTTCAAAATCTCAGGTAAGGTGCCAGAAGAGTCCCAAGGACACCTTTTGGTACCACTGACCATACAGCATTGCCATCACTGTTACTGACTCTTTCAAGGCTTAAGAAAGAGTTGTTTCTCAGAAAGACTGCTCTTACAATACAGACAAAGCCTAAGGAATAGCAGAGGGGTCAGTTGCTCCTACTCCTTTCCCACATTGGATGAATATCTGTCCAGATAATGCTCCTATTTTGTATCTATGAAGCCTTTTGGATAAGCATTAAATCAATATGGGACTCTGTGCCTTCAATAGATAGATGTCTTTAAACCGTGCTTTGTCAGCCTGGATTGCTCAACAGTTTTGTTACAGATAGAATCAGAATGCAGACAGGGCTGACTTAAGCCATGCAATATTGCCACTTTGCTGATGGACTGGAGAAATACAACACTGGAAATGGTGAGGTTTACAGAAGAATCTTCAGAAGGGGAAAGTTTACTCACTGTTTCATTCAGATATACAAAAATAATGAACTAAAGTAAAACGACATGCATAACTTTCTTCTCACACGGCTGTAAAAAATAACATTTAGCAGTCTGAAGCTTTTTTTTCCCCTGTCAAGGAAGGTCACTGCCACAATGATCTACTGTTGTCACTTCAAGAATAGCTTGCTGACATTTTCTTCAAAATGGCTACACCCTGCAATCTGGAAACTTCATTTCTTAGAAATTCATTGGCTTCTTTCTAAAGGGTATTTCCCAGCTCTTTAATGCACCCCAGTTAGGATGCATTAATTAGGCACACATTCTATATTCTGCCTATTTTACATCTGGTTGGATCTGTTGTTTTTGAACCATGAATCTCAAAATAAAAAATGAAGTCCCAGAACCCTGGAGAACACCTCTTTCCGTGTGCATAACTAGGGTGGACAAGTCATTTTGCTTTAAAAGATAAGGAATTGGTTAGATGGCCACAGCCAGAGGGCTACAGAGGGCTAAAGTCAATGGCTCCATGTGCAGGTGAAGGCCTATCAAAACTAATGTCTCACAGGGGTCTGTCTTGAGATGGGGGCTCTTCAACATCTTTAACAGTAACCTAACCAATGGGACTGAGTGCACCCTCAGCAAATTTGCTGATGACAAGCTGGGAAGTCCAGCTGATACAACAGAAGAAAGGAATGTCATCTAAAAGGGACCTCTAAAGGGACCTGGACAAGCTTGAAAAGTGGGTCCAGGAGAACCTAATGAGGTTCAAGAGGTCGATTATAAGGTGTTGGACTTGGGTTGGGGCAACTGAAAGTAGTCTCCTTCTGTCTCAGGAACCACTTCAAAAACTTATTCTACAGCCCTTCAGAAGTGCTAGGCTCAGACTGCCAGTCTTATTTGTTTCAGAACATACCCTAAAAGCCTCTTACTCAAATTCTTAGCTACATTTTAGTCAGGGCCATTTTTTTCTTCTTAAGGAGCTTACAAGCCAATTAAAAAGCAATCTAGATTTTTGTCTTTAGTTATTATGCCTATAGATTTCAGGGCAGTATACTTCATAAATAATAAAACGTATTAAGAAAATCAAAACAATTTAAACACAATACACACTTACCTGTATGCATTAATGTAATCCTTTCTGTGTTGAAGAAGAAAATCTTTCAGCTTCCCAATATTGGAAATCTTTAAAAAAAAAAAAAAAAAAAAACATATTTAAACCCTGTAGCTACAGATACTAATGTTTGTATACATTTAAAGTTCAGTACTTCCACTTTTCAAACATAAATTAGTGAAATTCACTGTATTTATGTATATTTAATCAGCACCATAACATTTATTTTCTGTCATAATAGGATTTTCACATTTTTCAAGCAGTCAGTACATACAAATAATCTAAAATTCTGATTGTTGTATGAAAGCAGAATTTTGAAAGTAGTAGTAAAAATGCATGTCTCGTGTACAGAAAGCATAAACTAAACATTAAATACCACTAAATGCTAAACAAATACAATATAAAACATTAAAACAGTAAACATAACTCCAAGCATAACTAAACATTAAAAATGGTATCAACTGGCAATTCAAAATCCAACATGTATTTCAGAAAATATGTTAATTTTAGATCATACAAGAAATTTTAAAACACTTTACTGATAAAGAATGATATAAATACTCAATTTCCTTAAAGAGAACTTATAGAGCAAGGTGCTGTCCCTCTCCTTGGTATTTCTGCAGCAATGCAGTGAGCAATTTGTGCCTGAGGTACTGCATGTAGCACCTGGGAACTTTTGCCATCCACAGCAAAATTCTCTTTCTGGATTCCTTTTTCCATTTCTGGATTTTCCCTTCACCATGGATCTGTGGTTTTTTTTTTTGTTTGTTTTTTTGTTGTTGTTGTTTTCATTTGGTTTTTTTGTTGTTGTTGTTTTTTTTTTTGCTGTAAAACCATTTTACTTTCTTCATAGAAGTCTTTACTAAGATTATCTGAAAAACCTCCTAAGCTCTGAAATGAATTCTGCTAACTTCAGTTGAATGCAAAAGATTTGACACAGTGTAAGATCCTACTTTGTCTTACAGAATAGATGATCTACAGAAAATGAGTTTTCATCAGCCACAGAAATGAGATGGCTACCTTAACAGGACTGGAAAGAGACACGATGGAGTGAGGAGATTGTATTACTAATAGATACTTTCAACAGAACACGGAGCTGAGGGAAAACCTTCCTACAGCATATTCTCAAATAGTCATTAATAATTCTCTGTAAAAGCATGCAAGGGTTTTTACAATGCAATTGTTTTAGTTTACAAATACAATAAATGTGGTTTATTCTGTGTATCTGGGAAAAAGCATCAAAAGCTGTTCAAGTCTTAAAATCCTATTTTCATGCAAATGTTCCCTGTAATTAAACAAACAAAAAACCACAGCGACAGAACACAGAATGGTTTGCATAAATAGAAGATTAATATCCCTGATTATTTTTTCACAAGATCTATAGGCCTTTGAAAAAAGAGGAAAAAACTTGGTAAGGCCACAGCGATCCGTTAAAACAAAAAACGTTTTCCTGCACAAACACGTGGGCATACATTTCCCTGTTATCACCTGTTTCCTTCTCACTGCAATTCATGATAACAGATAGGAAATTTTGCTATTTTTGTGCTTTAAATTTTCCATGGGATGAACAGCATGTGGAATTTTGAGCCATTCACAGCACACATCAGTAACTCCAGCAGATACCAACTTCCCTAAAGTGTGTTAGCACTGTCAGAAGCATTAAGGAAGGAAATACAGAAAACACAACTCAGGATCAATTGGACACAAATAGTCAATTTAAATAATTCTACAGATGTTTCTTCTGGAACTTACTCTTGTATTTTCATCTTTTTCTCAGCATTAGTATGTAATGAATTTTGCTTCATACGACTTTGTTTGATAGGTAAACTGAGCTTGACTATAAAAGCAGAATCTTCAAAATAGCTGTACAGTGTTTCAGTAGAACAGTAATACTTAATAAGCAGAAAGTACTACAGAGAACAAAGAGTAGAACTGCAAAATGAGACATTTGAAAACATTTACATGGATACGTGAACAAAGACTAAACTAGAAAAGGGATTAGCAAAATTTTATAAGTAATAAATCTTAATATTATTGCAATAGCTACAATTTAGGAGTGATTAACAAGCAGAAAGAATCAGAATGACAAGCAAGAACACTGTCTTACAGTAATTAATTCATCTAGTCACAAAGAGCATTCTATTTAGGCTAAAATTGTCATCGTGTGTTTGAATTGCACTGACCCCACTTTGCCTCTCCTTCATTTGTAAAGCTATTTTCATGAATTTAGAATGACACTATTATGCCCATACTCACATCAAGCTCTTAGTTCCCAAGATTTGCATCAGAAGTGAGACTTCTTGTTCTACTTTCCCTCAAATTCTAACAGCATCTCCTGTGATCCTGCACTAAGGCTGTTTCTCTTTGACCCTTTCTTACCATGTAATATTGGCACCGTTTTGAATTCAATTTGTCATAATTGCATACAATTAAGCATTTTTAAAATGAAAAAAAAAGTCTCTCTAGCATAAAGAGAAAGTAAATTTTATCCCAGAATACTCTCATTTCTATTTACTTACGTTAAGATTCTTCATCTTCTACAGATACAAAACATCCATTATTCTACAAATATAAATCTTGAAGATATCTCCAGGGTCATCAACTAGCATTTGGTTTGGGGTTATCAGAAGCACACCACACACTCTTCGCAGTTATCAGACTCCATTCTAAAGGTAATAAAGCATCTTCCTAATCCATCTGACCACCCTTGTTAGACTCTTACTGATCTTAGTAGAAATAAGAACTATCAAATTTTCAGGTTTCCTAATTAACACCTTCCACACATCTGCTCCTGATTCAAAACAGTCCTTGCCCCTAAAAGCTCTTCTTCCCTGCATATGTGCTTCTCGGTTTACTGTAAATAGTCCTACCCACCCATAACCCAAAACAAAAGACCCCAAGCTTTTAGTTTCTTCTCATGGGGTAGTTCTGACGTTGCTTAATTTGCGACTTTTCTTGGTGTTTGTTCCAGTTTGTATCCATCCTCTTCCAAAACAAATAACCAGAAGGACATACATTGGTGTTTGTACTTTGCAATTCAGCTGGAGATATCTTTCTATCCACCATTTTCATTTAACTGCTTTATTTGCTTTATTTTTTGGTTTGATCTCAAACTCCATATTCTACTGATGGATTTCCTTCTTTTCTTCACAACTCCAAACCTTGGAACCATTCACCACTTTCTGTAACAGAGCACGCTCCTCCCTCTCCTTCCTCTCATCACAACATTCTGACAGCACAATCTCACTTCTTCATTCCCAAAAATAAGAACATTACTAAATTTTTATTATTTTTAGAATTCAGACCCAGAATAATTCAACTATTAGCCTCTCCTCAGTGCAGTACTCCTTTCAGTACAACAGAAGCAGTATTGCTTCTGCTACAGCCACATCTTACTCATGTAATATTTTCTTCACGACTCTTTTGCGGACTTCCCACTAGCACCTTATCAGACCCTTTACTATCTGACACCAGATCTTCATTACAAAGGAAACACAGTTTTCTAAAACCATCAGGTTCAGAGAATCATAGAATCATCAAGTGTAGAAAAGACCTACAAGATCATCCAGTCCAACTGTCCACCGATTACCAACAGCTCTCAACAGGCAAAATATTCTATTTTAGTATGACAGCAAGTCATACTCCATTGTGTCTTACTTCCCATTTATCTTTTTCCACTTATAGTCTTCTCTAAAGCCTGGAACATTTCTGTATCAGAATAAAAGCCCTGCTGATGCCATAATCAGTTTCCTCTGCTGACTTAATTAGAGGCATTAAATTTGCTACCCTCTAATCAAATGAGATCATCACCAACTCGATGTATTTTCATTTAAAAAAAGCTGCCATCAGACTCGTGATTTCTCAAATGCACTGTGTTTGAACTCAACCCATAGATTATCTGATAGCTATGGCTTGACTTCATTAACATTTCCAATTCCACGCCCCGGTTCCCAATGCCTACCTTGTTGGTTTCTTTGCCCTGCTCATCCGTGCCTTTTCATCATTAACTCAGTTTGGACACCACACCTAAACTATTCTTAATTTATACTAGAGATGGATGAAAAATCCACTTTTTCTCTAGTTCTCCTTTTATTTATAAGTTGAAATATTCTTTAGCCATATAGGTTTTTAATAGCTCTGGTTAAGTCACTGTGAACTTGCCAATTGTCTGCTTTATCCTCACAAAGTCTTTTCCTTTGACAACAGCTTTCTTGGCCAGCCAGTCTCTCTCTCTCCCCAAGGTCCCCTGCTCCTTATTGCCTCTGGGCTAGTTTTTTTTTTTTTTTTTTTTCCCTTCTATCTTCTCTAACTAATCCTTCAAGTAGACATGGAACGACTTCAAATCCCCCTTGCATTTTAGTGTAGCCATTTTCTTTTTCTCTATTTACTCATCCATCATAATTGCAAATTCCTATTGCTGTACACTCCTGTTTTGAAAACAAGAGTACCACTAGTCTACACAGCCTTCAGGATAGATGAAAGCAGTCTGAAGACAAAGCACAAACATAACTTGGGTGGAGGCACTGGCCTCCACCACAGTTCTTGGAAATTAGCTTTCTTCCCCTCTGAAAGTTTGGATTAGAGAAATAAACCTCTCCTCATAAGATAACGTATCCTCATAAGATATCTTATGAGGAAAAATATTACTGAATTGCTAGATTTAACTGACACTTTTCTGGGAACCATAGGAATTCTTCCCAATATCACCGACATGCTACACTAATGCATTAACAGCATGTTCCCAAGCTGCTGCTCACCACCAGAACACTGAGGGTTGTCTTATTTTTGACAAACTGACTTCCTACCTGCCTACTGCACTCCAGCTCTTCCTTGAGGGTCAGCACCACACAGCGGGACACTGGAATGATTTTTCTTAAATTAATCTTTTGGGAATGGGGCTAATCATGTTTAAGATTAACTAAAATAAATCTGTTGCATTCATTTGGGCCTCAAATACCTTTCTCATCGCAAGGGAGAGCAGAAGCTGGGTAGTACCAGTAGGGAATTTCCTAAAGGACATCTGCCAAGAAAGGATTCACTTACAGCTTAAGAAATTTACAACAGTAACCCC